CAGAACAAAAATACGCATATATCTTTCCTTGTAAAGTATTAGGAAAAATTACCCACATATATTACACCTACAGCTACCCCCATACACACGGAATACATGGTACAGTGAACTATTTAGTGAGATTTTCAAAAAGAAAACATAAAAATGTGATACAGAATTAAGACCAATCATAAATGTATGTGGGCTAAGTGCACTGTAACAGACACTGTCACCTACACAAAAGCAATTCCCTACCTTTTTTTTTTTGCACCCTGTCTTTGTTTGGGGGCCATATCTAGCTATAGGAGATGAGTCACTGTTGCCTAAGCCAGTCATACATATTCTGTCTTTTTTTTTTAAAGATTTATTTATTTATGCAAAAAGAACTGGGGTACAGACCAGAGGTGTGGGGGGTGAGAGGATTCACCAGAGACAGAGTGGGGAACAGAACAGGCAGACTGACCGACATACACTGCTGAGGGGAGCAGCAGGCGAGGCAGGAGAGGTCTGCTGCGTCATGTGGGTATCTCCCTGGCTGGGGATCAAACTCATGCTGCAGTGGCTATGGATAGCTTCATAGGTTTTGTCTTAACCCCTGGCACCACCAGGGAGGCCCATATATTCTGTGTCTTTTTGCCAACAGCTAGATATATGGTTCAGTTATATGGTCAGGGTCCCAGGGTATCCTTCCTAAGAGTAGCCCCAGGAGGATAAAGGTTTTTATCCTGACAAGTTTTTGTTTTCTGCTTTTGAAATGTGCCTGTGATTTGGGAGCTGTGGCAGCCATTTTGAATTCATGAATCAACGAGGGTAAGGACTTGCAGAGCAGACCTCAGGAGGAAGGAGTCTATGATCTGCTGACATTGTTGAGCCGCTGGATGAACTCCAGTTACCAAGTTGCAGAGTGACTCATATCTCTACTTCCAACTTTACTTTTTCCAGGACTATAATACAAAGAGGTCATATTAATCTTGCTCAGCAAAATACTTCCCTCCAATTCTTTTACCATTTTCCTTTGCAGATCATTTAGATATTTCACTTGTTGCATAGTTGATTTTATACTAAAATTTTCCTAGCAAAGAATCTTACTGGCTTCAGATTATTTAAATGGACTATATAGCTTATGGCATAGAATTCCAGAACATGGAAAATGAGTCTACAGTAACAAAAAATGACTCAGGAAGGAGCTTCTTGAGGTCACATACCTGGGTTATAAAAATTGTTGCAGACTGTCTTTAATTCTTTATCTTATAAAAGCCTGAGCTTCTGTTAGCCATAGGGTATTACAACATGGTTGGCATCTTTTAATGATTGCTTATTGACATTTGTTAAATGCGTAATCTCTCTAATATACTTTCTTTCCCTAGAGAATCTGGAAATTGGGATTCAAAGAGTTGGCAGGGCCATATGCTCCCTGGGTTTTAGGGAAGAATCCTTCCTTGCTTTTTTACTAGTTTCTGGTGCTTCCCACAATCCTTGGTATTTCCTAACTCCTGGCTTCATTCCTCCAACCTCTGATTCCATCTTTCACATGGTCTTTTTCCCAATGACTCTGTATATCCTGTCCTGTATATCCTGGCCACCAGTCATTGGATCTAGGGACCACCCTAAACCCAGGATGATTTCACCTTAAGCTACTTAGTAATAATATCTGCAAATACCCTATGTCCAAATAAGGTGACTTTTTGAGGCTCCATGTAGATGTAAATTGGAGGGGGGGGCACTATTCAACTCACTAAATAGGCAAAATATAACTTGCTCAATATGCCATTAATATATTTCTCACTCTAACTACCTTCAGGAACAAGAATTGTAGTTGAAAATGAATCCAGGAGCTAAAACAATGTCACCCTGCATGGGTTCTCTTGTGCTCTGATTTTGTTTTCCCTTATGTTGGTGTCATTCTCAAACAAGCATGTGCCAGCAGTGATCGGTACTAGCATCTCTCCAGGCTCATGTTCTCCTCACAGATTGTGACCCTAGCAAAAATAAAAAACAACTTTCCTGATAGTTCTGGAAAAATACCTGAGAAAGTCTCTGGTAGATATTATTTGATTCATCTCTCAACCAACCTCTATGGTCAGGGGCATGAATAAGCTTACTTAGCCAAACCTAAGTCACATACTAGGTAGAGGTCAAGAATTGTTTTTTTTTGTTTTTTTTTTAATTTATACAATAGCTGGGGTACAGGCCAGAGGTGCGGGAGAGTGAGAGGATTCACCAGAGACAGAGTGGGGAACAGAACAGGCAGAAGGATGGAAATACACTGCTGAGGGGAGCAGCGGGTGAGACAGAAAAGGTCTGCCATGCCATGTGGGAATCTCCCAGGCTGGTCAGGAATCAAACCCATGCTGCAGAGGCTGAGGACAGCTTCACAGCGTTGTGCTCAACCCGCTGTGCCACGAGGGAGGCCCTTTAGCAACATTTAAAAAGAGGATTCTAGGTTTTCTGATATCCATTTTGTGCAGATAATTAGCCTGTTGCCAGTCTGATTTTTATTCTTTTGAAGACAACCTATTTTCCCTCTCTCTGAGTGCTTTCTGAATCTTCTCTTTGCCTTAGTGGATCTAATATTATATTGCTTATTTCCCAGTAAAAGCTTTCAATCTGAAGAGTTATAGCTATCTTGGTTTTGTCATTTCCCCTTCCGCCCTCCCACCCCAATGATTTCTATATTAACCTCTATCCTTGTATTTTCTCTGGACTCTCTTTTTGGAACTCCTATTGATTAGATTTTGACCTGAGTTGGACCTCTAGGTCTTCTATATTTTCTCTTTTTTTTCTTTCTCTTTTTCCTAAAGCCATATTTCCATCTTTCAAGAAAAAAAACATAAGTATGGTCTTCAATTTCCAAGTATTCTTTCTTATTCTTCAACTGTTCCTTACTCACAGTATCCTCTTTTTACTTTAGGTAATTATTGTCTTCTAGAATATCTCTGAGAATGTTGAGTTTAAAAATTATTTTTCTGTTATGCAAGTTGGTTTTCATGAGGTCAGCTTTTATTTTTGCTTCTTCTGCTTTGATATCTATTTACTATAACTGGTTTTTCTTGTGTACTGATGTGGAGTTGCTTTTTTATATTTAAAAAAGAGGAAATAAGGGGCCTCCCTAGTGGTGCAGCAGGTTGAGTGCCGTGCTATATGAAGCTGTCTGCAGTGTGGGTTCAATTCCCAGCCGGCCAGGAAGATTCCCACATGGCACGGCAGACCTCTCCTTTCTCACCCGCTGCTCAGACCTCTCCTGTCTCGCCCTCAGCAGTGTCTTCGGTCCGTCTGCCTGTTCTGCTCCCCACTCTGGTGAATTCTCTCACCCTCCCGCACCTCTGACTGTACCCCAGTTCTTGTAGAAATAAATAAATATAATAAAATAAAATAAAAAAGAGGAAATAAGCTGATTTTTTCTAGAGATATTTCCTCTATTATAGGTAGGGCTGTTTTCTTGCTAGTTAATTGTACGGAAAACAAAAGAGGCTAAAGGGAAGTTCAGCATTCCTAAGCAGAGCTTACTAAATAGTGAGTCTCCCATCACAGTGACCAGAGGATAGGACACCAGACAGAAGGGGCCTTGACCTGGTTGCTAACCGCTCACCCTACTGTCAGTTCATCAGTATGTAAAGTTATTGGCATGAGCCTCCCTGGTGGCACAAGGGGTTAAGATGAAACCTATGAAGCTATCCGCAGCTACTACAGCATGTGTTCAATTCCTGGTCAGGGAGCTGACCCACATGGTGCAGCAGACCTCTCCTGTCTCACCTGCTGCTGCCCTCAGCAGTGTATTTCAGTCAGTCTGCCTGTTTTGTTCCTAGCTCTGTCTCTGGTGAATCCTCTCACCCCCACCCCACACTTCTGGCCTCTACCCCAGTTCTTGTATGCATAAATAAATAAATCTTTTTTTAGAAATGTTATTGGCAGATGATTGTCCGTTGCCATTTCTCTCAGCTGTTGCTGCCTCCTTTTTCACCAAAAAATAAATTGTTGCTCTTTCAATTCTGTCAGTACAAATGCTTGTGCTCAGGTTGTCATTTTCAACCAAAGCTTCGCTCTTTTCTAAATTATTTCTTGTTGTTTCTAAATGGGCATCTTTCATTGTTTTTACTGTCTCATGGATAGACCAGACTGCATTCACCTTCATACCCTTAGCTATTGTGTTCTTTTCCTCAGAACAACCTTTTTCTCATTCTATTCTTCTCCTGTCTAGATCTAGTGAGATTCTTCCCAACATCTGAAGCTAACTTGAGCATACTTCTTCCGTGAATCTCATGTGTTTAATCCAGCTTTATTGATCTCCCTTTATCTTACTACTATCCGACTCAATGTCTATTGTTCACAATCCAACTCTGAATTGTAGAGTCTAATATTGATCATTTTTGTTTCATATGTTGGTAGTTACTAGAAAATCTTGGGAGTGGTATTTATTTTTCTCTGTCCTTCAAAACACAGAGCAAGGTATGCATATATATAGAAGATATTCAGTAAGTATTTGTAATTGATGAACTTTCCTACTACTTTTAGGAAGGAAGGTAGATAACAGGCTCTATTTCTTTTTCTGGACACAGGAGGAGTCCTGATTCTTGAACTGAAAACTGAATTGGGGAAGCTCCATTTCAGGCTGCAGGAATGCTGATTCTTTTACAACTAAGGAAAAAGAAACTTAAATTACAGAACTTAAATGTGTGCTGAAAACAATGGCAATGGACAGATCCACCAGAATTGAAGTAACTGAAGCAAGAGTGGTCCAGGGGAAAAGCAAAGTGACAAAATTGACTTAAAAATAGACTTGATAGTCTAAAATTTCTTCAACATTGCTAATAGTGAGTTCTCCTAATATTTCCAACAGTGTCATATTCAATAAAAAAGGTAAGAGATCTAGGGGTAGAATACAGGCAAAATAATTTGAAATAATATACTTCTTGTTGTTATATTAGTGCTGTTCTCCAAACAGATCGATTTTACTACCCTTCTGGGTATAGAGTAAGTTTGTGTCTTGACCCAGTGAAATTGGGGGTAGCCACAGGACTTACTTTGGCCAAAAAGAGTGGGAAAGATGTCACTTCCAGGTGGAAGCTTTAGCAGCCAATGAACAATCAGCCGTACTTCTGTTTTCTGCTTCACATGGAAGTGTGTAATACTCCAGAATTCTGAATTCCTGAAAGTTCATTGTGAGGTCTTCCTATAGACCTATGACAGAAATATAATAGGAATGGGAAATAATCTTTGTTGTTTAAATTACTGAATTATAAATTATTGTTATCCAGGGTTAATAAATTATAATCTGCAGGCCAGCTGTTTTGGAAAAATTTTCTTGTGACACAACCATACACATTTGCTTATGTATTATTTATCGCTGATTTCGTAATGCAGCTGCATTGACTAATTGCCACAGAGACTGTATGGCTTACAAGCTAAAAATATTTACTATCACTCTTCAAGAGAAAGTTTGTTAACCTCTCACCTATTCTTTCGTGACTATGATAGATTTGGAGGTCTTTTATAAATGCTGTTTTTTTTTTTTAAGATTTATCTATTTGTGCATATAAGAGCTGGGGTACAGGCCAGAGATGCAGGGGGAGTGAGAGGATTCACCAGAGACAGAACAGGGAGCAGAACAGGCAGACTGACTGAAATACTGCTGAGGGGAGCAGCAGGTTAGACAGGAGAGGGCTGCTGCGCCATGTGGGTTGCTCCCTGGCCAGCCAGGGATTGAAAATTTCAGGTTTTTATTTTTAGTATGTCAATGGGTCAAATTCCCTTAAGTTCTTTTGATTTGGGAAAAGTTTAGAATGAGTGGAGCAAACTCTTAATAATGTGATTTTATTTCCAACGCTAATGATATATTTCTTGGAAAAGTTTCAAAAACCAGTTTTTTTTTCCACTGGCTATTATAATTTTCATAGCTATATTAGATATTACTTAGTAATAACATTTTTAATTGTGTGAGTGACATGTGGAATCAAGAAATATCTTGGAAATAAGCAGAAGTCAGTGGGAACCAGGAGTTGGGGAAAGCTAGCAAAAGACGTTTTTGATGACATTTGCTTTTTCTTTTACAAACAGAGACTAACAGGCAAAGATAATGGGTAACAGCCTTCTCAACTGGTATCAGCAAATTTGTTTGGAGAGCAAACTTTAAACCTAAGTGTAAACAGAAAGGGAGCAAATAATATTTTTGTATGGTGCCAGCAGGCCTAAGTATGAATAATGGACAAGGAAAATTAGGAGTGGGGTAAGAAGAAATTTTAAAAATAAAAAAAAATCCATGGAGTGTAAGTACTCACCTGCGTATTCCACTGATTCTTAACCATGTTGCAAACTCAGGGACACTGCTGGTAACCTCACCAAATGTCCTTTCTTAAACCTGTAAATGGAATGAGACTCTCCATAAATATTCAACTATCAGCCTGCAAACAAGTACTAACCTTTAGAATTTGGGCAGACATGAAATTATAGTAAGACTAGAGGTGAAATGAACAACCTCCTTCCAACCCTCCCCCAAAAGGATAAGTACAGGCCTCAAAAAAATAGTTTCTCCCTTATGTCCTTTTTGATTAGTAATCTTGTAATACTGTAGATGAGAAGTCTACATGTGTTTTGAATATGTGCTATGAATTATCCCTATTGGATTGTGCAATTTTTTAAAAAGATTTATTATTTATTTATACATAGAAGAACTGGGATGTAGGCCAGAGGTGAGGGGGAGGGGGAATGAGAGGATTCACCAGAGACAGAGTGGGGAGCAGAACTGGCAGATTGACTGAAATCTACTGCTGAGGGGAACAGCAGGTGAGACAGGTGAGGTCTGCTGCGCCATGTGGGTCAGCTCCCTGGCCAGGGATCAAACTCAAGCCTTACCAGTGACAGCCCTGAGACTCAACCCCTAGGCCAGCAGGGAGGCCCCAGATTGTGCAATTTTATTAGCCATATTACCATAGCTATCTTAGATGATAAACCTGTGAAGCTGGAATCTGGAGACTAAGTTCCTGGTAGCAGTGTTTTTAGGATCAAACTATAGGAATTTGTCCTCTAGGCCTAAGAAGTGTAGACATAAACTTTTCTGTGTAGATATTTATCATCAGCATTAAGCAGTAGATCATAGATATGACCAGAAATAAAGATTCATGTCTGATAAACTTAATAGCACCACTGGAGGGGCAAGATATTTGAGAATTTCTGAAAAAAACAGAATGCTTGCTGGCCATAAATCTGAGGGGGAAATGGTGAGAAAACCAGATTTTTATAAGAGAATGTTTTCATCATGTTTATTTTGGAGGTAAATTCTCTTCAGTGAAGAACAACTGTAAATACTTTATTGCCAGTGTTGTCATATATTTAGGCTCCATCAGCAAACACGTGAGTGTTCCTTTCTTAACTTGGAGTGAAGGCAAAGAGTTGGTTTGCCTGGAGGTCAGGAGGTTAACCTTGGAGCCCATGGATTCTGTTTCTTCAGGGAGGAGGCTGGCACAGACTCATCATGAAGAAGTATTTTATTAAAACTTTAACCTTTTGTAGGTGGTATCTGTTTTGGAGCCAAGAAAATGCCAACACTGTGTCTAATGGAGCAATACAAATCCTCAATGGGGAAATTAGGGTTGTATTTTAAATTACTTTTTATTGAGGTAAAGTTGATTTACAACACTGTCTATGACTTAGGGGGGATAGGTTCACACCTCTTCAAATATATTTTGCCACACCACACCCACCGCCAAAGCACTGAAAATTTGACACCATAGTTCATAGGGCCCTTTTTTCCCTGTATAATTTTGTAGTCAGATTTCTAGGATTTGTTTTGATTAGTTTTAAAGATTTATTTATTTATGCATACAAGAGCTGGGGTACAGACCAGAGGTGCAGGGAGTGAGAGTTTCCACCAGAGACAGAGTGGGGAACAGAACAGGCAGACTGACCGAAGTACACTGCTGAGGGGAGCAGCGGGCGAGACAGGAGAGGTCTGCCGTGCCATATGGGTTTTTCCCTGGCCAGCTGGGGATCGAACTCGTGCTGCAGAGGCTGCAGATTGCTTCATAGTGCGGTGCTTAACCCCCAGCGCCACCAAGGAGGCCCAGTTTTGATTAGTTTTACTGGTCTTATTGCTTTGTTTCTTTATACTCCACACGAGTGAAATTATACAGTATTTGTCTTTCTCCTGACTTATTTTACTGAGCATAATCCCCACAAGTTTTTATAAGTGGCAAGATTTCATTTTCTGGGTCTTTTCCAAATTTATAACAGAGTAGTATTCCATTGTGTGTATATACCATTTTTTTTTATCAACTTATCTGCCATTGTGCACTTAGACTGCTTCCATAACTTGGCCATTAAAAGCAGTATTACAACATAGGAGTGCATATACCCTTTGAATTAGTGTTTTCTGAATTTCAGTTAGACTCCCAGGAGTGCAATTGTTGGATAATATGATCAATCTATTTTTAATATTTTGAAAACCCTCCACACTGTTTTCCATAAGGACTGGACTAATCTACATTCCCACCAACAGCCTATGTGGGTTCCTTTTTCTCCACATCCTCACCAACACTTTTTCTGGTCTTTTTGATGTAGTCAATCTCACAGGTGTGAGGTGGTATTTCATTGTGGTTTTGATTTGCATAAAGCAGATATTTTTAATCATCAAAGTACTACCATCACCTCACCACAAATCCCATGGTGTTTGAAGCAGCCTATCTCCAAAGAAACATTTTCTAACATTTAATGAACTTTACCCAGAGTCAACAAAGCTAAATCTGAAGTGATTTCCGATTTTGTAGAAGAAGGTTATGGTCATCGCTTTAAAAATTTTCATTTCCCGTGGTTACCCTTCCCAATTTACAGCCCTTCCAAGTTGCCAAAAACATGCAGCTAAAAGTATTTTCTTCGGGCAGGGCAAGTTGCTGCTATCTTATGGCTCATCTCCATAAGACCTAGCTAGAAGCCACCGCACAGTGACTGTCATAGGATCTGTTCAACTTGTGACCAACTATCTCCAACTCTGTTTCATAGTAGTAAAAACTGAAAACTTTTTTTTAACCTCAAAATCGACGCCATGGTGATTTTTTTCATGATTATAGTAGTGTGGAAATTTTTAATGATTTCTTAGATATACTCCTACAAACCAAAGCAATAAAAGATAAAAGAAATTGGACTTTATCAAAATTAAAACCTTTATGCTGGGGCCTCCCAGGTGGCGCAGCGGGTTGAGCGCAGCACTGTGTAGCTGTTCCGCAGCCTCTGCAGTGCGGATTCGATTCCCAGCAGGCCAGGGAGAAACCCATATGGCGTGGCAGACCTCTCCTGCCTTGCCTGCTGCTCCCCTCAGCAGTGTTTTCTGTCCATCTGCCTGTTCTGCTCCCTGCTCTGTCTCTGGTGAATTCTCTCACCCTCCGGCGCCTCTGATCTGTACCCCAGTTCTTGTATAAATAAATAAAATCTTAAAAAAAAAAAGTTTATGCTGCAAAGAATACCACAAGAAAGTGAAGATACCTCACAGGATAGGAGAAAATAGCTGCAAATCTTTTATCTGATAAAGGATTTGTATCTAGATTCAATAAATACTATACCTCAATAATAAAAAACAGCAACACAAGTAAAAAATGGGGAATAGCTCTGAATGACATTTCTCCAAAGATAGAATGGCCAAAAGCACATGACAAGCAGTTCAACACCATTCATTATTAAGAAAATACAAATCAAAACTGCCATGTGATATCACTTCACATCCACTAGGATAACTAGAACAAAAAAAGACAGATACCAAGAATGTGGAGAAATGTGAGCCTTCACATACTGTTGGTAGGAATATAAAATGTTGCTACCACTATGGAAAATAGTCCGGTAGTTCTTTGAATGATTAAGATGCATTCACTCAGTAATTTTATTCCTAGGTTCAATTCCATTCTCACCCAAGAGAACTGAAAACACATGCTCACAAAAACTTTTACACAAATGCTCACAGCAGCATCATTCATAATAGCCACAAAGCAGAAACAATGTAAATGTCCATCAAGTCGTGAATGGATAAACAAAATGTGAGGTGTCCATACAAGAAAATATTATTCATTAATGAAAAGATAGTAAGTACAACATTTTGAAAACACTATGAGGCCCTCCCTGGTGGATTAGGGGTTAAGTCTCAGCGCTATCACCACTCCAGCCTGAGTTTGATCCCTGCCCAGGGAGTTAAAGCACATACGGTGCAGCAGACCTCATCTGTCTCCCCTACCGCTCCCCTTAGCAGTGTATTTTAGTACTTCAGTTAATCCACCTGTTCTGCTCCCAGCTCTGTCTCTGGAGAATCCTCTTGCCTTCCCCTGCCCTCATCTACACCCCAGTTCTTCTACACACACACACACACACACACACACAGAGAGAGAGAGAGAGAGAGGAGAGAGAGAGAGAGAGAACACCATGATAAAAAAAAAAACCAGTTACTAAGATGTACGGCAAATAAAAAGTACAGGCTTTTCCACCCTCCTGCCATTAGGACTGATGATGGATCCCTGTGGTCCTGAATGCATGCCTGATGGCGGACACCTGGAATAGGGTGTGGGCATGTGTAAGAGGGTACACCTGGGCTAAGGCTGGATTTATAAGGGCAGCATCACAGACATGCCAGCCGAAGCAGCGAGCAGAACCACGAGAAGAGCAGAGAACAAGATCACCAGAAAATGCAGGAGAGCCCAGATAAAGACTTGCTGATGGTGGGAGGCCTGCCAGCCTTCCGGCCCCCAGCACTCCTCCCAGCCATGTACATGGCAAATCCCAATAAAAGCCTGCAAAAGCCACTGAGGGCTCCAGGACTTCTCCTTTACCCTGTCTGCACAAGAACATAGAAACCCTGCTGTGTCCTCCTGCCGCTACGAAAGACCACATTGTATGACTTTACATAATATGTCCAGAAAAAGCAAAACTACAGCACCCTTGTAAGCAGGACTAGGAATAAGAAAAAGGAGGGCTTGCTAATGAATACAGGGTTTCCTCTTAAGGTGATAAAATCTTCTAAACTTGTGATGTTGGTGGCACATCTCCATGAATATACTAAAAATCATGACCTGTAAAGTTTGAATAAATTTTTTGTTGTGAATATTTCTAATAAAGCTGTTATTAAAAAAAAAATCTTCCATGGAGATGACCATCAATACAAGCCAGTGCCAGATCAAGAACGTACAATTCAATGCAAATTTATATATATATTTTTTAAATTTTTATTAAATTATTTTTTGAGGTAATGTTGGTTTACCACATGGTTTAGTATCTTAAAGAACAGTGTCAGGCCTCCCTGGTGGAGCAAGGGGTTAAGACGCAACCTATGAAGCTACCCGCAGGCACTGCAGCATGAGTTAGATCCCTGGCCAGGGAGCTACCCACATGGCGCAGCAAACCTCTCCTGACCCCCTGCTGCTCCCCTCAGCAGTGTATTTCAGTCAATCTTCCTGTTCTGTTCCCCACTCTGTCTCTGGTGAATAGTCTCATCCTCTGCACTCTGGCCTGTACCCCAGGTCTTGATGCATAAATCAATCTTTAAAAAAAATTAAAAAGTGTCATAAACTATTTGAAATCCTCGATTTTACCCTTGTAACTTCTCCACACAACAATGAGATTGTGAAAATAAATTACCGAAGCACTAGCAAACTATTGCATCTTCCGAAATTCGCGAAACTTTGGAAACAGAAGGAATCGGACCCTTCAATTCTGGACAACTTCTATTGAAGGTGGCTCCCGATTACTTTGGCTCACGAGTGAAAAAATAAGTTGTTACGGTAACATTTTGATTTCACTAAGCGAAAAGCAGTCATTCGAGGACCCAATAAACTTCTAAAATTTCATCCGAGTTGCTCCCAAAGGGTGATACTGGATTTGCTTCTGTGCACAACTGACCTTTCCGGACAACTTACTTACATAACTGCATTTTTTCTGGCCACCTTATATCTCTGAAAAATGGGACTGAGCGCGCTAGCGCCAGGATGAGCAACTCAGCAGCCAACGTCCTCCAGGACCGCTTCCTCTTTTGAGGAAGGCCCTGCCCAGCACAGGCGACAGGGCCTGCTCCGAGTGGGGTGCACTTTGTCCTCGCAGTGGGGAGCAAGAGCCCCAGGGGCAGATGCCACCGCTCAGAGGGCGTCTTTGACCTTGCTGGGCGCTCACAGGTCGCCCTCCCGGGCTGCGCACGTGGCGAGGTGGGGCCGGGGCCACGTGGGGCCGATGTGACGCGCTGCGCCGCGCGCCGCGCCCATTCCCGGAACTGGAGCGAAGTCTCAGCGGGTCGCCGCGCAACAGCGCAGGGCCTGGCCCCCCGGGAGGTGACCGGTAGTGGGTCGGGAACCCAGCAAAGCCAAGTGAAAGAAGACCCTTCATCTTTCCTTTTCGCTGTACACCCCGCCCCCACCTTGGCCCGCTCCCGCCCCCCGCTTCCGGGCCCCGCCCGCCCGGCTCCGGGGCTCCACTCCAGCCCGCGTCCAGCCGACTCAGCGACAGAGAAGCGACTCGATCCGGGTGCTTTTCAGGGCGGCCCAAGGGCGTGGTTTTATGACGACACAGGGGGGCGGGGCGAGGCCCAACTCTGGAGCCGGGGACCTCCTGACCCAGGGGGCGGGAGAGTGTGGGTTGGGCCTTTCCACGCCCCATGGGACCCCCATGCCGGACAAGAGGGGAGTATCTCTTCTCAAACTCCTCTGTGACGAGAATAACCGCAACTACAACAGCCCAGCTTCCAAGGCGCCCCCTCGCCATAACCCATTCTTCCTCTGCCCTCGGCTCTTCTCCGCTCCCTCCTTGCCCACCACGCCCCCTCCCCGCCTCCTGTTGGCTCACCCCCCTCCCGTCCGCGCGGATGGTAGCGTCCGCGGGGCGCGCAGGCGCAGAGGGCCCGGGGCGGTGCCGGAGGGGGGCGGGTGACGCAGCGGCCGTCGCTGCCATTTTAAGTTGTTTGTTCTCGCTCGTCTCCTCAAACGCGACTCTGCCCCGGACCCGGGAGGCGCCCGAGGCCGCCGCCGCCGCCGCCGCCGCTTCCGCAGCCGCCGTGGGGGGGACGAGTGCCGCCGCGGACGCTCAGCAGCAGCAGCTTGGCTTCGCCCCCTCCGGGTCTCCTCGGCCTCCTTCCCGGCGAGCCGGCGCCCGACGCGGGGGCAAGCGAGCCGCGCGAGCCGATGCTTGAACTGAAATAACTCCTCGGGGGGCGCCTCCGTGACTGACCCGTAGCCAGGGCTCCCCTCCCGCCCGCCCCTCCTCTCCGCCCGCCTCTCCTCTTCTCTTTCTCGTCGCCGCCGCCGCGTCCTTCCGTCCGCGCCGCCGCCGGGGCGCCGAGCCAGACTATGGGTCCCAGGTGGGGGCTGAGCGGCGGCAGCAGCGCGGGCGGCCCGGTCCCAGTGCGCGCCGCAGCGGGCCTGGAGGGGCGCGGGTGGCTGGTGGTTTTCTCTTGACATGGCTCCCGCCCGTGCCGCGCGCTGCGCCCCCGCCGCCTGTTCCGCCGCCGCCACCGCTGCGCCCGCCGGCTGCGGCTAGAGGGCCCGGCCCCGCCCGAGTCGTCCGCGCGCCCCGGTCTCCGCGGGTCCGGGAGGGCCCTGCCCCGCACCCGCTCCCCGCCCCGGCCGCCCCTTCGGGGAGCCCGCCCGCGACCCCGCCCGGAGCCGTGCACACTCGGGAGCCATGGGCTGGTGGGCGCGCGAGCGAGCTTAGCCCGGCCCGGCGCTGCGTGGCTTCGTGGCTCCGCGTCCCCGGGGGTGGGGCGGGCGCGCTCTGTCTGGAAAGCGGTGACTAGTAACACGACTGTTCTCTCTTCTCCCCCCCCCCCCACCTCGGCCCCCCCCTTGCCCTCTCCCGCCGCCTCTACCCGGGCGGGAACGGGTGCCACGATGCAATGAGTGAGAGCCCGCGCGATCCGGTGTCTCCCGTGGTGCGAGTGAGTCGCTGCCGCTGAAGGCGCGGGGTGGGGGCGCCGCCGGGGCCCGGGCCATGCGCTCGAGAAGATAAGCCGCTCTCCCCACCACCTGGACGGGGCAGCCGCGCGGGGAGGGGTCCCTGGGGGATGTAGGGCTCCTTGCCGGGCTGGGGGTGCTGGGATCCCGGGCGTCGATCAGGTCTGACCCCGCCGCCGGAGTCATTGCCGTCTTCTAGACACCCCCCCCCCACCTGCCCTCGGCCATCATGGTTCTCCTTGGCCGCCGCGCTAGCAGCCGCCTGAGGGTGAAAATGTGGGTGATGGGGAAGTTGGTAATGACTCCGCTGTTTTTTCTCATGGCTCCTTTGGGCAACAGCTGCCCGCCCCCGGTATACACTGTAGTTGATTGCAGGGAAACCCTGGACCTCTCCCCTTCCTTCTCGGCCGATTTTGCACTTTCCTCTTTGCTCACCACCACGTGTAATCAATAACAAGCACTGACGATACATAGCAATAGTGAAATCTGAAATAACTAAGAATTAATTAGGTACTGCAGCCATGGGTCTGGCTGGGTAAAATCCAATTGAATATTTCAGTTTCATTCACCTACCCTGTTTTTGGTGTATTTTTGGTTTTTTTGGGGAGGGGGGGGTTTGGTGGTTATTTTTTCCTTTTGATATTTGGTCAACAAGGATCACCCCTCCCCCGCCCTCTTCCTTTTCGTAATCCAGTCTCCAAAAAGAGGGGGGGAAATCCGGATGGATTTTGAGGATTGGACTGGTGTCAGCTGTGTTTTATTGCACACCTAAATCCTGATAATAGGCTTTTCGTTTTCCCTCAGAGCCTTTATTTTGGCAGTTAAACCAGATGTGTTCTCCAAAAAGTTAGTTCAAGTATTTTCTCCTCTTCCTTTCCTTCTCTTCCTCTTCCCCATCCACCCCCAAACGTTATTGTCCAAACATGACTGGACAGCAGCTTTTGTTTCTTGACCCTGTAATATGACAGTCTGCTAATATTGCCAGAAGGTGGTTTTTGGGTTACAGTCGTGATTTTAGCTATTCAATCATATTAGCAGGAAAAAAAAAATGACTTGTTTCTGTTGTACTTGAGTCTTAAGAAAAAGTGCCCATAGTTTAGTGACAATTTCCAAAGGCTTTAGTACCACCTGTATTTCAAAATGGGGGACCCAAACTCCCGGAAGAAGCAAGCTCTGAACAGACTACGTGCTCAGCTTAGAAAGAAAAAAGAATCTCTAGCTGACCAGTTTGACTTCAAGATGTATATTGCCTTTGTATTCAAGGAGAAGGTAATTTAAAGTTCTTAATGTGAATTAGCACAAGTGATTTTTGTAAGTGTGTAATATCTGTTAAATAATTGAATATTAGGTTAAGTAGTGCTTGAGAAAGCGAGCAGTAACTTTCACGGGAAGTGTCTCTACCTAGCAGTTGCAGAGTGACTATGGAAAACTTGAGTACTAACTGGTTTGGAAATTGGTGATCAGGTTGTAGAACTTTCATTTGTTTTACAATAAATTTCATTATCCCAACAATGGGAGAACCTTATTAAATGAAAAGGTTTCTGTAAAGTATAGGCAGAATGTTTAAAAGTGGTTAGAATCAAAATGTTTACATGCTAAACTTAGTCTTTGATGTAGGTACCTTTTACTTACGGTGTGTTTAGTGAAACAGAACACTACTTAATACTGTAGCGGTTAATTCGTGTTTAGAAGTACAATTTATTAAAATTCTAATGAAGCCAAAAAGGAAGTTTACCTTTTTTTGTTGGTCTCAATCAGAATTCGACAGTTAAATACAGCAAATGATAAGCCGGGAGTAGTCAAGGAGAGTGATAACTTTTTGTAATTTAAAGTAATGGACAGGTCTGTTTGAAATGAGATTAGGTTTGCTAGAAGGAAATACTGCTTTCATTTTCGCATGTAAATTGTGAGCGACTTCAGATAAGAGGTGTAATCTAGTGTGGCACCTAGTTAATATTTGGGATTTTCCATGGTTATTACCCTCCTCCCCCTTAAGAAAGCACTTAACTGCTAGAGTATAGCATTACAAAGTGATTTCAAAAGTAGTTTTTTTGGGTAACTGATTGTTTTAAGATTAGCAGTACCAGGGGTTTGCTTTTTTGTTTTTTGTTCATAACTTTAGAATTGATAAAATATGATTTTAGTTGACAGTGTTATAGGCTCATGAGAAATAAATTCAAGGTAGAAGTTGAGACTAGACCTTTGTATTTAATCTATGAGATGTCTCAGATTTTACTGTTCTTAATGCCTATGAAAACCTGTTTTTAGTTTGTGAATGGATGTTCATAGGATGTTCCAGGCATTTGTCTTGTATAGTTTATGAATTTTAGAACCTAAATTGATGATGAGCATTTGGTCTTAACTAAATTTGAAACTCAGTTTGGTTGATGCACTTGTTTTCCTTTCAAGTATTGACATAGTTACATAAAAATACCAGAGAGAATAATGGAAATTGATCTTTTAAGGAAGTACTTGATAAGGATACCATAATGCTATAAAGTTGGCAGTTAACATTCTTATAAGAGCCTATTTTTGTGTGGTTTGGGGAAGAACACAAAGATCTTATCTGAAAATCTGTGTTTTTAGTACAAAGAGTATCCATCAGTTAATACTCTTGCTGAGTTAGAATTAAGTTTTATGACATTGTAATATGAACCGGGTGTTAAAAGACTGCTACCAGCGCATTAATACACTTTTTTTTTTTCCTTTCAGAAGAAAAAATCAGCACTTTTTGAAGTGTCTGAGGTTATACCAGTCATGACAAATAATTATGAAGAAAATATCCTGAAAGGTGTGCGAGATTCCAGCTATTCCTTGGAAAGTTCCATAGAGCTTTTACAGAAGGATGTGGTACAGCTCCATGCTCCTCGATACCAGTCTATGAGAAGGGTGAGTTCTGTTTGTAAGTTTGCATTTGGTAACTTCTTGTGAGTTATTCTTGCGTTACCCACTCTTACTCCCCGATGGGTAGTAAGCAAGCCATCGTCAGGAATCCGTTAGAAGTTTAATTCAAATAAAACATACGGATCACTTTCTGGGTAGTCTGATTGTGATATGCATTATTGCTGAGGATAAAGTAGAAGGTGGTATTGCCAACAACTTTCTCTAAACTTCTGCAGCTCATTGGAAATAACTTGGCATATGGGAAGAAGAGAGCGTGATAGTTAGTAGGGGTGGGGAAAGGCTTTTGATAAAATCGTGTACTGGGAGAGGGCGATTGGCCTTGGAGAATTAATATGCTGGACTATGTATGATAAGAGGAATAAGAAGACAAAGTCGTTTTCTGCCAGCATATAACAAAAAGAGCATCTCAGTAGTCATAAGGTAGGGATTCATGTTAAAACTTTCAGGACGCCTTTGTATTGGTTCTGATTTTGAAGAGTGGAGATGAAAGTGCAGGGGCTTACTTAAAAAAAAAAAAAAGACAAGATCAGAGCATTTGGAGTTTTCATCAACCATATACTGATAAACTTGAGTCTTGATGAGAGGAGCTCTGGGCTGAGACTGAATGTGGACTCAGCAAGATAAACGAAGTCAGTTCTGAGCTATTCACATAGTATATAGTCCTACTGTCCCCTTTTAAGGTATGAAGTGATGTAGTGGATCTTTTGTTCTTGTGAATTCTTGTGAAATGTTTCTGTAGTCGAACTGTAGTTAGTGATGTTGCTTTGTGTCTTTGAAAGTAATTTTTTTTTTTTTTTTGGTCACTTTATAGGATGTGATTGGCTGTACTCAGGAGATGGATTTCATTCTTTGGCCTCGGAATGATATTGAAAAAATTGTCTGTCTCCTGTTTTCTAGGTGGAAGGAATCTGATGAGCCTTTTAGGCCTGTTCAGGTATTTTATTCTAAAAGAAATGTGGTAAGCACTTCCAAAGTGAAGACTAGAATTGGGTGTAACTGAAATTCTTTGGGATTATGCTTTCTCCTAAGTTTTCCATGAATCCCTCCAGTCTTTTAAATATTGTAAGGCAGAGTAGAAAGCATTTGCCTCATAGAATCTCTTGAGAATAGGGTGGATCTAACTCTGGCCAATGTGCCTTTGAAATTAAAGCCAAAGAAAATCTAAGGTGAACCTTTGTTGACAAGTGGTGACAGGGGTCCTATGGATGAACTGACGGTGCTCTCTTGCCCTGTACCACACATTCCTGAAATAATATATACTGAAGTAATTATCTGAGTTCTCAAGAGCAGTAAGAAGCCCCTGCCGAGAAGTTGATGCCTTATATATATAAAAGTGTATCAGCAGAAGAATGGATCTAGTAGTGGTTCCAAAATGACCCTCAGTATCTCGGCTAGCTCTTGTCATTTGATGTACTTGACCATTTCTAGTATTAAGGGCATTTACCCATGTGTTGATGATCCTAGTTTGTAGTATAGTTACATGCCTAGAATAAAGTAAAACTAGGTAGATCTACTGAAACGTTAATTATGGTCAGTTCTCGGTTAGGTATAGCTAATTCTCCTTTTTTATACATATATATATGTCCATAATTCCCTGCAGTCAGCATACTTTCATAATCAGAAAAATGACCTTTAAAGATGCAAGTCTATTAAATATTAAAGAAGTTAATTGTTTATGAATATGAAAATTATTACATTATCCATTACCATGAAGTATGGTGCTGTTGTATGTGATAAACAAGTTGGTGTACTCACTATGCTGTGTCCTATCTAAATGTTGTAACTGTCAGCTCAAATAAGTGAGCATTCCTGTTTCTAAGATAAATTTGTTGATAATAAGTTGTAAAGATACTCCATAGGCTAAAAGTCAAAGTATCATTGTTGTTTTTTAATAGAAATTAACATCAGTGTGCTGAAGAATATAAGTTGAAAATAAAAGGCAGGAAGACAGGAGTGAAAATGGCAAATTTATAGTGCTCAGAGTGGATTTTATACCTCAACTGTTAGGTGTTACTGAAAGGACTGAATTTTAAATTGTACTACATTAATTTAAATTTAAGTAGCTGTTACTGGCTATCATATTAGACAATGCGCATGGATATAAACATGGTGCAATGGATGTTTCAGGAAATGTGACGTTTGTAGTACATATAAATGTTTGTATTTCTTAATTAGGCCAAATTTGAGTTTCATCACGGTGACTATGAAAAACAGTTTCTGCATGTACTGAGCCGCAAGGATAAGACTGGAATTGTTGTCAACAATCCCAACCAGTCAGTGTTTCTCTTTATTGACAGACAGCACTTGCAGGTAAACATTTTTTAATTTTCCAAAACCACTGATGGTTTTTTTTACAAACATGCGATTATTTAAAACATTTGTTTCCCTTTTCTATATAAATACTTAATGTTTTACCTCCTCAACACTGCATTATTTTTCAAGTTACTTAACTGCTTATTTTTTAAGATTTATTTGTTTTATGCATACAAGAACTGGGGTGTAAGCCAGAGGTGCGGGGGGTGAGAGGATTCACCAGAGACAGAGTGGGGAGCAGAACAGGCAGATCTACTGAAATACACTTTCTAGGAGAGCAGCGGGCGAGGCAGGGGAAGTCTTCTGCGCCATGTGGGAAGCTCCCTGGCTGGGGATTAAACGTGTGCGGCAGTGGCTGCGGCGAACTCCGTAGGTTGCGTCTCAACCCCTTGTGCCACCAGGGAAGCCCTCAAAGTCTGCATTTTGAACAAAATCCTTGGGTGATTCATAACACATATGTTGAGCACTGGCCTCAACCTTTTAAATCAAAACCTATAAAAAGGTCCTGAGGCACCTCTGTAGTTAAAAGATGCAGGTGTTTTCAAATAAGCATTTACAGTTTGAAGTAGCAATTCAGGTATTGCCAATTTTTACTCTGAAACATTTATTTTCATCAACCTGAGTATCTGCACATAGAATTCATAGTCCTTTGTTATTAATCATTAAAAAATTGCACCAGTCTGACTTACCATTTGTTCAACAAATAATTCCTACTAAGTGCCCACCATTGTGTAGCCATAAAAAACAGAAAAATTTTGGCCTTGTGGATTCACATTCCGTTGTGAATTACCTTTCATAAATAATCAAAATAGTTAACAAATGCTAAGAGGAGGGGGGATGGGGAGTGATAATATAAACTGTTGGATATGAATTCTTAGATGGTGTCACCAGAGAAAGCCTCCCTGAGGTGATCCTAGTAAAGACTTTGAGTATTTATGATATTAATTGCATTATAGAACATGTTTATTTTTATGAGTCTCGTGTGCAAGGTAATAAAAAATATAAAGGTGACTCATACTGCTACCTTTACAAGCTGACAGATTGACAAGATTATACATTTACTTTCTATCTTCTGAGAGGTTAAGTAATTATGGTATGGGTACAGATATAAAGGGACTGGGAATTAATAGAAGAAAGTTAATTTCACTGGTGACATTTGATAAACCTAAGAGACAAGCCGTGTAATTTCGGATTTTTTTTTGTTTTTTTCCATTTTAACTTCGTCCTCCTGGTACACTTTAAGTTGACTTGTTTTTGGTTTTTAATTACAAGTATAATGTACTTTCATTTATGTCTTGAGAAAATGCGATATAACAGGTTATTGACTTACATTGAAGTCACAGCAGATTTTCAGTCTTAGGAAAGTTACTGATTTATATACTAGCGTAGACTTAATTTTCATATGAATATTGTGAGAATAGTAATACTATATAGAAATGACTGGTGACTTGAAGGGGAGTTACTTTGCTAAAGAAGAAGTAATTCATCTATTAACTATCGTCAAATGATTTCTATGTTTTATGAAGCAAACAGCTTAAGCCTTTCAATGAGAAGAAAATTTTAAGCTCCTAAGGTAAATTGGGGTTGTAGTTAAAGTAACCAGCAGTTTAGTTTCCCTGCATGTCCTGATTGTACCCAGTCCTGGGCCGTCTGGGATGGTTGGTCACCCTAGTCCTTCCAACTGTCTTCTGACATACAGATCTTACTACTCCTGTTTTATAATAGCTAAGAAAATCAAGAAATTAATTGGCCTAATGATAATTAAGCAGATATTTTGTGCCCTGTATCGTTTAAGATAAACCACAGGAGAATTTTGAATGGACAGGTGGTAGAGAATCATGTACCCTGAGTCTGGATTCTAATATAGATGCAGCCACTATGAGATCTTGGACAGTTACTTCTCTGAGCATGTTTTCTGTTAATTGAATAAAAGATATTCATAGGGATGCTGTAACATTTAAAATGAAAAGAAAAATGTGTGTGTATAAGTTCATTTACATATGGATTGCTCTAGGCATGGCAAAGGCAGGGTTTTTTTTGGCCTGTCATAGAGGTGACATCTTGAAAACAAGATTGACTTTTGAAGAAGGTCTGGGTTCAGATTTTCACATTACTTGCAGTTGTTATTTGTGAAAACACCTACCTTGTTTGCTAGAAGGTGTTAAAATAGTAACTGCTACTTGAAAGAAGTAGCTTGATTTGCTTATACTTTGATTTCTAGTACTTGAAGCTTTTATTCTGCATGAATTCTTTTTTTTTTTTTTTAAAGAGTTATTTATTTATGCATACAAGAGCTGGGGTACAGGCCAGAGATGTGGGGGAAGGGGGATGAGAGGATTCACCAGAGACAGAGTGGGGAACAGAACAGGCAGATTGACCGAAGTACACTGCTGAGGGGAGCAGCGGGCCAGACAGGAGAGGTCTGCTGCGCCATCTGCATGAATTCTTTAAACTTAACTCAGTTTTTATCCTGCCATTGTTTTCCTGTATTTTGTATGGTGAGATTCTGTCTTCTTCAATAGAACAACAGTTTGTTCACTGACTCTATGAGCTTTATTACTGTGTCCATAAGTGGGTTAAGCTTAAATTGTGGGAGATTGGTTTCATGTGGCAATTGATCAGTTACATTAAAGTCTTAAGAATATTAAAATTTTTCCCCTTTTAGACTCCAAAAAACAAAGCTACAATCTTCAAGTTATGCAGCATCTGCCTCTACCTGCCACAGGAACAGCTTACCCACTGGGCAGTTGGCACCATAGAGGATCACCTCCATCCTTATATGCCAGAATAGAGTACTGACCAGCAAAATGGAGAAGATCAGAGTGCAGCAGCAATGTTTTTATTGTTTTCTTACCACTTTATTCTTTCAGAGTTTAAAGAAAATGGACTCATGCACAGAACTCTCTGCATTTTGAAACTTGTCCATCCTGGATTTTTTTTTTTTTTTTTTTAAATCATTTGTATCTCAGAACTTAAAAAAAAAAATCTGATGTCTTCTGCACGGACTGTGTGAAAGAAGATGCTTTGCATATTTGCTGCACTGCATCAGCATCTTAACTAAAAATGTGAAATGAAAGGACTGTTGTACACTGAAATGCTTAAATGTATCTTAAAGCACAAGGTGACACTCGTTTTTGATGGTCTTTCCATTTGTGCTGGTTTTTCCTCTGACATCTGTCATCAGTATTTGGAGGGTAAGAAGTAAATGTAACAGGCATAAATAACATTTTAAAAACTTAATAGCTTTGCTATATCACCGTTGATCCAGAACACTGTCACATTCTAATGACCAGAAGTGGTTGTTAAAAAAGAATGAAAATACAACCATGGGAAAGAAATCTTAGATAAAAAGCATCTCATTGTAGGCATACTTGCCTCATTTTACTGGGCCATGTTTGTTTCCTGGTACTCATATGTATTTTATTTCTAGATCTCTTTCCCCAAGTTGCTGTTATAAAAGTATTCTGCTGAGTGGATACAGTTAACCACATTAAGGCAGATCTGGAGTCTGAAGTAGCTTAAAGCAGCTATAAAACTGAGAAATACATTCATAGCTGCAGAAACCGTAATAGGTAGAGGACTTTCCTTTTTTGTTTTTTGTTTTGTTTTGTTTTTTGGTTTTAAGGAGAAGAGATTTTTATTACAAAGAAAAATTCCAGTGAATTGTGCAGAAATACTGGTTTCTACACCATCCTAAAGAACAACAACTTAGGGTTTTTTGGAGTAGAAAAAAGTTATTAAAGGTTGGAATCTTAAATTGTGAAAACCACCGTTGAGTGTCAAAGGTCTAAAAGCAGAACTCATTTGTGCAATGAACATAAGGAAAGACTACTGTATAGTTTTTGTTGTTTTTGTTTTTTTTTTTCTTTTAAATGAAGAAAAGCTTTGCTTAAGGGTTGCATACTTTTATTCGAGTAAATCTGAATGATCCTACTCCTTTGGAGTAAAACTTAGTGCTTACCAGTTTCCAATTGTATTTAGCTTCTGGTTGGAATATGAAAACCTAAATAAAATAGGTGAAAGCTCCCTGACTATTCAGGTGAATACACAAGACTTTGAAGCAGTAAATTTTTTTTTTCCCGTCCTTGGGGAGGTATTACTGATGACTTAAGGGGTTACTCTGTAGTCCATGGCGCAATAAATACAGAAGGGGGGAAATGGCGGTTGGGTTTGTAATTTCAACAAACGGAATCAAGGACATTTTGTCTTCATTTCGAGAAGAAAATGTATGCTTCACTTCAAATGCTTTCATGTGTTTTCTGATCAACTGAAAATTAGTCTATTTGAAATGAATTTATTAGGTCAGGATGGTTTCAGACTCTAGTCTTCCCTAATTTACCTCATGTGTAGGGAGGATTTAAACGTAGGCTGGCTGGCTCTAGAGACCAATTTCTTAAATGTTCTATACTGAACTACACTTGTTATGCTTTACATTTTTATTTTAGAATAATTTGGGAAAGTAATGCAGAAAGCTTTAGAACCTTTACCCACATTCAGCCTTGTAAACATTTTGTCAGTTTTTTCTGTCTACATATAGGCATATGTATTTTCTGAACCATTTGAGAGTTTGGCGTATATATCACAGATGCACCTTGATTCCTGACCCTTCACATTTTGGCATATGTCCCAGGTACAAAGATTTACATAACCATGGTAGTTCTAGAACTGAGGAAAGGTAACATGGATATACTTTAACCTGTCACCCATATTCATTTCAATTGTCTTAATGTCCTTGACGGTGTTTTCCCCCTTCTGTACAGTGTCAGTGTGTTTAGTTGCCGTGTCTAATCTGGACCAGTACCTCAACCTTTAACGGCCTTGACATTTTTCTGTCTGATGATTCTTCATGGTTAGATTTGGATGATGCATTCCTTGCCAGTGTCGAGTGTAAAATAATCGCATACCCTTCTCAATATCCCAAAGCACAATGTCAGTTTGCTTTTGTTGGTAGTAATTGTGATTGGTCATGGTGGTATCCTGTTTCTGCATTGCGTAGTTGCTGTTTTCCCCCTTGCAATTAAGCACTCTAAAGGGAAACATGCAATTACCCTGCTCTCTATCAGAACACATTGTTAGCAGCTGGAAAAGGTAATTTTCCATATTTACCCTTGTACATGTGTCCGCCTTCTATTGCAAAGACCCTTCCCCTCCCCGCCATCTACCTAAGTGGCATAGACTCATTTTTCCATTTCATAATTTGTGCTCATTTTCTCGAGCACTTCCTTTCAGGCGCATATAAGTACATCTTTGAACTTCCCGATCTCAGCCTACATCCCTGGAATCTGCTATTTTTCCAAGGAGCCTAGGTTACTTTTAGTGAGAAATAATTAGGATCAAGATCTGGGTCACCTGTGTATCCCCTGCCACTGTGAAGTCCGTTGCTGTCCTGAAAGCAGGCCACCCAACTCCCATTACAAGAGAAGGATCACAACCTTCAGCTGTTGACGCTAAAGTTGCTTCCTAAGACTCCCTGACACAGAAATCAACTCAAGAATGCCATAGTTAACTAGGACCTTTGAGAAGTGGACGAAGTTTGTGAAGTTGGTTTTTTTTCAGTACTGTAGATTGGAAGATTCAAAATCTGCCAATCTAGGTACTTACTCTAAGTATTAGAAAAGGAGCCTAATAGTATGCTTTTCTCCCACTCTTAATATTAAATAATGCCAGACCTGTAATTTAGAGAAAAGCAGCACACCATTTGTTTCCTGTTTCACTAAGGTGCTTTGCCTATTTTAGGTTACATGGTCCTGTTTTATTTTCCAGATATGGGCTATGGGTCACCTGTTTTGAAGTTCATAACCCTATGTTAAGAAAAAGCAATGGAAAAATGGCATATTAGAGCCAAGAAAACCCTAAAATACATTAAGGATAAACCATTAATTTATAATTCTTTAGCTTAATGCTGAACTTAAAGGTAATCTTACTTCAGAATGGCCTTGACAGTTATGCTTTACCTACCTTGTGCTAAGGATTTTTTTCATCCAGATACCATACATATGATTAATACTGACGAGGGTTAAAAGGAAAAAATGTCAATCTCCTTATATCCCACCTGGTCTCTGTGGTTCCCCCCCAACCTCCAAAAAAGCATTTTTTTTTTTTTTTGGCTTCTGGTTGTGCTAATTTATTTTGAAAACTACATTTGTTCACATCAAATTTACACCTGCTACTCATTGTTGGGTTTCTTTTGGTCATGCTGCTGTTCTCTCAGTTTCCAAGGTGTTTTGTGTGTCTGCCTTGTGCTACTAATTTTCCTGTGGTCTTGTTGGTCAGATCCACAGAGGCAAATGCAAGGGTTCTTCCTTGCTTCAGAACATGTGCTGTGATCACAACAACTTCTCCTATTTTAGCAGGTGCCATGTACCTGGAAAAGAGAAATTTAAATACAATTAGGAGCAGATTTTTAAAAGGGACTGTTGTATATTCCTCATAAATACCTTATATTACTTCTTTTACTCCTAAAAGTAGGTTTTAGGAGTATCAGTAAGCTTTCTGTTCTGTCAAATTTGAATGACTGGTAGTGAGCAAGTTCCACCTCACCCACTCTCTCTGCACAAGTTTCATTTCTCTCAAATACTAGAATGGGTGTTGGTCTCCATTTTGTTTGTCTGTTCCCATTTCATATTTATGTGGGGCAAGTGAAAGTTTTCCTCACGTTTCATTTAATATGCTTAACTTCCTACATGAAGTATTAGTTGGAGTCTATATCCTATCATATCAATATCAGAACTTAATTGTGAAATACAACTATAAGAACTATAAGGAATTAATATGAGGTTCTTAGAATCCTGGTGATAGTATGTATTATTTTTAAGGATACAGTTCCTGCTCACCTGTAATCCAGCATGCTATTTACTTTTGAAATACGTAGTAAATATTTGAAACTGTCCAGTTTTTGTTCAAGTGAATCAATATTTGAAGCTTAGCCCTTGATGATGGCCAATACTTCTAACAACCCATACTTTGAAAGGTCAAAACTATGATTCACTAAAAATTTTTCAGGGTTTTGAAAAGAGCAGTATCTTAGAGCATGAAATGCAGTGCTGGGTTTGAAGATGGCTCTGCTCTTAAGAGGCTCTTCAGGTAAAACGGAGTCAATTGACCTTACACATGGAATAAGATGAGGACTGCTGAATATGCTCACCAGTACCAGAAGAAAAATGTTTTTAGTATCATGAGCATTTGCATCTGCTTGCTGTGCCCTTCATTTCAGTTACTCACTAGTAAGGTTGGGACAATGTTTTCCTATTAGCTGACATTTCCTCCCCTAACATTGTCACATAACATTGACTTTCATACTCTAGTCTCTGCCTGTCTCCCCAACAGAAATCATTTTTCTGTTGCTTAAGTGAGAAGAATTGTCTTGAAACTAAATCCCTGGGTCCTGCACTGTCTTGAATACGGCTGGCAATAGTACTAGTTAATTGAATTTTATTCAGGTTTTCCTCCTCTTGTATTCAATATGATCCCCATAAGACATCTGTGCAAGTGGCATTTTTAAGGACCACGGGAAATAGCAGTGAGTTTGTGATGATCCCAACCCCCCAGCATTATACATGTTAGAAGCTGAATGTTTCCTCTTTTTAATGTTTCAATCATTCCCTCTTTACTACTGGTACACACTGTACTTGGAAATTAGTTCCTCTAATTCTAGATTCGCAAGGCCACGGACTATTTTAGGGCAAATCTACCACTGCACTTAAAGATGATCAGTTAAGGGCATCTCATGCTTTAATGTTACAAATGTGTATAATTTTGCTGGTTTGAAGTGAGCTATCACATTAAAAAGTAGTTGGGGTGGGTGCAATTTGGATACATACGTTATGTTCATATCCACACTGATTCCAGGTGCTCCCCTTTCTGTGCATAGCAGAGCCATTGTTGATACGTCATCCACCAAGGTGGCTGTCAGGCCTCCATGGAGCGTGCCTAATTTATTGGTATGCTCCTCTTCTACTTTCAATTCACAAATCACTTTCCCAGGATCAGCAGAGACGAGAGTCATCTAAATGTAAAAAATAAAAAATTTTGGAGATTCTGTTGTATTAGAAAAGTTTAAATAGCCCAACAAAAACTATCATTGGATTAAACGAACTCATCCCAAGAAAGTTGAATCAGAAATTCAATTAAGTTACCCATCTCTCTATGGTAGAAATGAATCCCTACGTAAATTGTTATTAAAGAAAGAGTAAATATTGATGGGAAAATAGTCAATTTTGTTAATCTCCACTCCTTTCCATTTGGGCTTTTCAACCTTATCTATAGCAACCTGGAATCTCTTAATGGCTCCTTAGCAATTATGTGCCAACAAAATCAGCTAGTCCTGTGCTCTGTTACACTATTACAGGTTTAATTTGGATGTTTCCTAGTTTGGGCACAAAGTAATTTTTTTTTAATTAGTGTTCTGAAACTTTTTTAAAAAATACATACTTATTTATGCATGCAAGAGCTGTGGTACAGGCCAGAGATGCGGGGGGTGAGAGGATTCACCAGAGACAGAGTGGGGAACAGAACAGGTAGACTGACCGAAGTACACTGCTGAGGGAGCAACAGGCGAGCCAGGACAGGTCTGCTGCGCCATGTGGGTTTCTCCCTGGCCAGCTGGGGATCAAACTCTTGCTGCAGAGGCTGTGGATTACTTCATAGTGTGGTCCGCAACCCCTTGAGCCTCCAGGGAGGTCCCACAAAGTAATTTTTTAATGCCTTCATAATGAATGATGTAAAATATTTTTTAAAAGACTGAGAGAAAGTAATTCAGTGAGTTACTAAACTAGTAAGCTTGTACCATAAACCCATTTTAATAATAAAAGTGACATTAGGATCTAGGAAAGTTAAACTGTTGTCTTTAAGATCGCATTAATAGTTTATTATTAAAGAATTACATGAATGGTAAAATGTTGACTTTTATGTTAAAAGAAAACAAAAGCAATAAGGAAGGTGTTTCCTATACCATATTTAAGTAACTTATAGCTTAATATTTAGAAGTTGGATCTGAGCTCTGAATGGACTGTTCTGCATCTAATAGCACCAATTCTCACCATCATGGGAGGTGTTCAGGCATAAAATGGATGAATGTTTGCTGTGTCTGTTGCATCTGGGGTGTGGAAATGTCTAAAGCATTAAAGGATCATTAGATTCTCGATAACTACCGTTTATCTAGCATTTTTATATGCTTGGCATTTTCATATGCCAGGCACTATGTCAAACACTTTGCAATAAGGATGGGATAACTCCCATTTTTAGGTAACTTCAATTCAGAGTGTTCATTTCCAGGGTCACCCAGGACATGATAGAACTGAGCTTTAAATGTAGGTCTGTCTACTTTCAAGTCTCCCGTTGCTAATGATAAAGCGTAGATATTCAACAGCCTTTGACTTCCACCAGCAAGACATTTTGGAGTTTCACAAACCACAACTGTTGTGGATGTTCTGTTGTTTATGCCTTAGGCCCTGAAGGAAAACAAAAACAAGCAAACAGTACAAACCACCCTAAACAGTATCACATCATGCTTTGCTCAACAGGTTAACAAAAGGAAAAAATAAAAGAACAAGATCAAGTTTATTTATACAGTAAATAATTTAGTCTCCAGATGTCCTTACTTTCTTCTTTCTTTTTTTTTTTTTTTAAGATTTATTTATACAAGCACTGGGTACAGTCAGAAGCGTGAAAGGGTGAGAGGATGAGCCAGAGCCAGAGTGGAGAGCAGAGCAGGCAGACTGACGAAGTACACTGCTGAGGGGAGCAGCGGGCGGCAGGAGAGGTCTGCACGCCATGTGGGACCCTCCTCCCGTGGCCGGGGAACAGCCGGGGATCGAACCTGCGCTGCAGAGGCTGTGGGCAGCTTTGCAACCCAGCGCTCAACCGCTGCGCCACCAGGGGAGGCCCTCCAGATGTCCTTAAACTAACCACAGTCCTAGCAGGATCAAGGTGTAATAAACTCACCTCCTTTGAAAGATGAGTATACCAAACATTAGAAAAAAAGGTAAATGAGATCAAATCCCTGGCTTTTTTTTTTAAAAAAGATTGATTTATTTATGCATAAAAGAGTTGGGGTACAGGCCAGAGGGGTGAGAGAATTCACCAGAGACAGAGTGGGGGGCAGAACAGGCAGACTGACTGACATACACTGCTGAGGGGAGCAGCGGGCGAGACAGGAGAGGTCTGCTGCACCATGTGGGTAGCTCCCTGGCCAGTCGGGTATTGAACTCGTGCTGCAGAGGCTGCGGACAGCTTCACAGGCTGCGTCTTCACCCATTGCACCACCAGGGAGGCCCTCAAATCCCTGCTTTTGAGGCACTGACTGTCTAAAGGAAGAGATGCACCTTTAGACATGTACCTTTAAATGCATAAAGGCAATTACTGTAGTCAGGAAAGAGACAGGCTGACTAAAGTAAGGATCTTCAAGTTTAAAAAAAGTATGTTTTCAGGGAGCCTCCCCGGTGGCGCTGCAAAGCTGTCCGCAGCCTCTGCAGCATGGGTTCAATTCCCAGCTGCCAGGGAGAAACCCACATGATGCAGCAGACCTGTCCTGGCTCGCCTGCTGCTCCCCTCAGCAGTGTCTTTGGTCTGTCCACCTGCTCTGCTCTCCGCTCTGTCTCTGGTGAATTCTCTCACCCTCCCGTGCCTCTGACTGTACCCCAGTTCTTGTATAAATAAATAAATCTTTTAAAAAAAAAGTATGTCTTCAGGGAAGAGACCTTTGGGAAGGTTTCTGGACAGGTGCCAGGGAAGCCAGGCAATTCAGGAAAAAGAATCAAATATGAAAACCTCACAGACAACAAAAGTAGTTTAGTATAGTTTTAAGCACAATTTAGCAAAGGTCAGTTGTCAGAGTTCCACTTGATTATCTAATTGTGGCTGGGATAAAAAAAAGGCAAAACAAATGTCAACTGAATTTTCTCCTACAGAATACCATTTTCGGGCTTCCCTGGTGGCGCAAGGGGTTAAGATGCAGCACTGTGAAGCTGTCTGCAAGCCACTGCAGCTCCAGTTCGATCCCTGGGCAGGGAGCTACCCGCATGGCACAGCAGACCTCTCCTGACTCACCCACTGCTCCCCTTAGCAGTGTAATTCAGTCAGTCTGAGGGGTGAGAGGATTCACCAGACAGAGTGGGGAACAGAACTGGCAGACTGACTGAACTACACTGCTGAGGGGAGCAGCGGGTGAGACAGGAGAGGTCTACTGTGCCATGTGGGTTGCTCCCTGGCTGGGATGGAACACGTGCTGCAGAGGCTGCGGATTGCTTCATAGTGCATTGCTTAACCCCTTGTGCCACCAGGGAGGCCCAAAGAATGCATCTTTTAAAATACAAATCATGTCAAATCATGTCACTCTTCTGTTTAAAACCCTCTAAATGGGGCTCCACTTCACTCAAAAGCCAAAAAGTCTAACAGGGACTTACCAAGCCACGCACGGTCTCTCCCCTCCTTCAGCTGGCTAGCTTCCTCTGTTCTGACAAACTATGTCCAAGATTCTGCCCCAAATGCCCTAAGTTTCAGGGCCTTTCCATTTGCTGTTTCCCTACCTGGACCACTCCTCCCCTTCTGAGCACCCATGAGATGCACAAGTCTTCATTGGCAAGGCATACAACTGGATGAAAGAAAAACAGCTGGAGATGCCAGTAAAATCTTTTCAGGGACAGTGGGTACCACATGAAAAGGACTTTGAGGTGTAAGAGTGAAAATGGGCGTCCCGAGCAAGGGCAGAATGTCAAGTAATGAGGAATATGTCGTCCTAGTCCTCAGGAAGTAAAAAGGCCAAAAATAACAAAAGTTAGCACAATAAAGGTGATAAGGCCAAAAATAACAAAAGCTAGCACATGAGTGACAGGAGGCAAAAAAGGAACTTAATTAAATAGTCCCCTGAGACAACCAGCTGAAATAATATGCCACTCATGTCTAGGGGGGTGCTGGAGGGAATATAAGCAATCACTGTGTTTTTTTCCCCAGAGGATGGTACATGGAAGATTTCTTGAATCATTCTAGAATGCCTACGAGATATTATGGGCTTCTGTCACATTCATGACACTGGAAAGATTTTGTTTGTATACAGGTTCTCTGTTGCCTTGTTCTGGAAATGGGGCTGACAGGGAAGGAGCTTTCTCACCCCTATAGACATGATTTCATCGATAATTATCCACACCTCCAGTTCTCCTTTCAAGGGAGCAAGCATACACTTGAGTAGAACTTTTGCAATTGATAAATGGTTTGAAATCTAGCACCTGAAAATAAAATAATTCCCAGAAAGGGATTGTAAGGAAAATGGAAGGTGAAAAATAGCTTCCAAACAATAGACAGCCTGTAACCTTGAAACATTCTGTTTACCACTTTTTGGACAATAGGAAACAACAGATGGGCCTTAGATACACTGGTATGTATCAGCTGTGTGGTTCTGGGCACTTCACAGTGTAAAGCGGGGGGATAGGAGGCTCAGTTGCTATTCTGCCCTCCAGTCTTTTCATCTTTCTCTCTGCCTGTGTACACCATCCCCTTGTTTCAGCATTAAAGACAACTCTGAGGATCTAAGATCCATCTTCCTTTCGCTCAAATCAACAAACAGCCCAGCCTGAGATGGCTGCACAATGGGGAAAATGCTCTGCAGGAACGCAAATATGGTGAGCCAGTGCCAGTTTTCATATAATAAAGACACAATTCAAGCAGCAACAGAGATAATCTCTGAGGAACAGTATTCCAGAAACTGCTGGAACTCCTAGAGTGGCCAAGTAATCATGACTCACTTTCGTATTGTGAATGTTTAAAATACATACATTTAACTCCTGTTCCAGTTCTCGGATAATAACTTTCTGAGGTCCTCACAAACCTCTAAGCTTGAATACGCCACTTAAACAAGTGCTATAACAAGGTAAGAGCATTTCATTTCAGCGGGAATAAAGATAACTCTAAACTTCAAGTATATTCCATTGCAGAAGAAATGTAAACTCATTATTCCCTTTGAAATTGGTCATCCAAAATAATAAAAACAAAAAAGAAATTAGTCATCCATTTGCCACTGTCAAAATTAATAATTTTCTAAAATATTTATATTTGTTTTGAATTGATATCAAATCTCATTCCTCTACAATACTGGAACTCTTTTGAGTTCATTACGTCACTAAATATATCTCGATTCTTTAAATCCTATCTAAACTGCCATGTTACTTCCCTATATAAGAATGTTAACCACAAAAATGAAATCACTTATTTTATATGGATAAGTAACACAGTACAGAGATGCAATTTCCAACCTACTACCCCTTCAGGGTCATAGACCATTCAATATCATTCCCTAGCCTTATTCAAACATGTATGCATATATAGGTTTTTTTTTTTTCTATTAGGTTTTATAAAACTACAAAAAATGGGACATTATATTATTTTGCAACTTTCAAAAAACTTTTCCCTGTATATCACAGTCATATTCTTGCATTTAACAAGGAGCCTTTCTTGGGCTTCCCCTGCCCGTAGCCTCTGCAGCGCTGGTTCGTTCCCTGGCCGCTGGTGAGGGGCCCACAAAAAAAAAAAAAAAAAAAAAAAAAAAAGAGCCTTTCTTGCCTTGAAAAAATCTCTGGCTTTACATATATTTAACCTGAGGGATAGCTATTTCACATAAAATAATTTTGTCAAAGTCCAGTAAGGTAACAAAAAACACAGTAATTATTTTAAAAGAGACTAAAGAATTATGAACTAGAGATTTAGAGAAAGACTACATTCTGTTCCATGCCAAAACACATGGAGTCTGATAATTTGAATAAGTCATATTGATTACATGCTAATGTAGTATTTTGGATATAATGTTACTTAAAATAAATCACTAAAATTGATTTCACTTATTCCCTCTTGCTTTTTAAAACCTGGCTATTATAAAGTTTATAATTTCATATTTCACCTGTATTTGTAGTTTGCATTGTAGCTCTATTGGCCAGTGCTATAACATTATTCAATCTTTTTTTTTTTTAATTTTTTTTTTAATAGAGGCATGTTTATTTATTTATTTGTTTGTTTGTTTATACAAGCATTGGGTACAGTCAGAAGCACGGGAGGGTGAGAGAATTCACCAGAGCCAGAGCAGGGAGCAGAGCAGACAGGAGGACTGAGGTACACTGCTGAGGGGAGCAGCGGGCGGCAGGAGAGGTCTGCGCGCCATGCGGGACCCTCCTCCGGTGGCCGGGGAGCAACCGGGGATCGAACCGGCACTGCAGAGGCTGTGGGCAGCTTCGCAACCCAGCGCTCAACCGCTGCGCCACCGGGGAGGCCCTATAACATTATTCAATCTTACTGCAACTTCTGAACCTCTATCCATCTACATTCACAGGCATACCTTCTTGGAAGGCAACTTACTACCAAGGCTAACTCAGGTATGTTTGTAGTTAATGACTGCTCCATTGTGTCTGCTAAAATATGAGGATTTTAATCAGCCAAAGGCAAATAAACTCATAGCAAGAATATGAGAAAACACATACCTATTACTTGAAGTTTAACAATGAAAATGGCTTCAGATTTTTTTTTAAAATAACTCAAACTTTCCCTTAGACCATACTTCCTATTTTGGATAATCTGATTTTCAAAAAGTTACTGTGATGTGGTGTGTCCTTAGATCTTATAGCATTTATCTGACAACATTAAATACATGCATCTAAGCAGTATTTTTCACAAAAACCATGAAAGATAATTAGGGACAGTTATTCACACATTGAAAATAAGCCTAAATGTTGTGTTCTAGAAGACAGAATTTGCTCCATTCATACACTCTTTACACTCTTCCTAACAAATGACTGCAGTTGATCCGTATTTAAACTCCTCTAGTAAATCATTTCCAAATTTCCCAGTACTCTAAACTATCAGAAGAAAAACAAGCATGGAAGCCTTAGACATTCAGAAAAAATGAAAAATTCCGAGGTTGTTAAATGTTTTCCAGATCTGACTTAATCAAGGGCTTTTGCAATTCCTGCTTACTTATAAACGCTTCCTATGTAACATAACACTGTTCTACAAAGACATGGAAAACTAGGAGTCTGGGTTGGTCTGTTCATGTGCAAAGGGGCTAACACTGTAGCACCTTGGCTCTCTTACCTTCCTGCAATTATTCTCCTTTTTTTACTTTTAAGATTTATTTTTTATGCATACAAGAAGAGCTGGGGTGTAGGCCAGAGGTGTGTGTATGTGGAGAGGTGGTGAGAGGATTCACCAGAGACAGAGTGGGGAACAGAACAGGCAGATCTACTGAAAATACACTGCTGAGTTGAGGAGCAGGTAAGACAGGAGAGGTCTGCTGCGCCATGTGGGTATCCCCCTGGCCAGCTGAGGATCAAACCCATGCCGCAGTGTCTGGCTGCAGCCTGATAGCCCTGAGACTAACCCCTGCGCCACCAGGGAGGCCCCTACTTTCCTTTTAATACTCTAGGCTGAAATCTCGCCTTGGAATGTAGGCTCTATTGCTTTTTTTCTTCGAGACACCTGCAGGCGCTTGCTGGCTGAAGGGTCGAACACTAAATTTCCTTCCCGCACTAGCAATGACAATTCTGTCACCAGGAGCGACCACCACCTTCATTCAGGTACGCTTGGACGAGACAATCCACGCACTTGACCTGTAACATAAAGACCCTCCACTAAGGTGGTAACCGCGATTACTAAGGTGAATTTACAGGCACAGTCGAACATGATCTAGCGAGACATTCGCCCCCAATACCTTTTCCAAAATTCTATCAAACCCTTGGACGTGCTTCATGGCCTTCAACACCTCCATCAATTTCTGCGTCAGGGAGCCCATGGTGGATCACTCTCCGGCGTCTGGACCCTCCACAAGAATGAACGTAGCAGCAGCCCTGCAGCTTGCAAAAGAGCAAGGACACACAGGGCGGGGAGTACTTAAAGCTCTCAGGCCCCCCCGCCCCAGCATTCGCGGTCCGTGTCGAGCGCACTCGCGCCACCATCCCCAGCGACTCGCGCACAAAAGTTCCGCGCGCCATTGTGGCCGCGCGCATGCGCTATTTTGCTCTCTCGCGCAGCGGCCTGGCCATTGAGGCGCCCCCGCAGCTTCCGCCCTCCGAGGGCGGAGCGCGTTTCCTCGCCGGACAGTTGATGCGGGTGCGCCGGGGTGGGGCGCCTGCGCAGAGCGGCGCGCAAACCGGCGCGCCCCTGTGAGGGGGCGTCGTCGCCGGTCCAGGATGGAGACGGACAGCGGGTTGGAGGTTGGCGGGGAGGCGGAACGAGAAGAGGGAGAGCCCGAGGTGAAAAGGCGGAGGCTTCTGTGTGTGGAGTTCACCTCCGTGGCCAGCTGCGACGCCGCCGTGGCGCAGTGCTTCCTGGCCGAGAACGACTGGGAGATGGAGGTGCGCTCGGTCCCTTCCCTGCCCGCGTGTCCTCGGGCCGGGGGCGCGCGGACTTCACCGTGTGGTTTTGTCTTTCAGAGAGCCCTGAACTCCTACTTCGAGTCCCCTGTGGAGGAGAGCACCTTAAAAAGCCTCTCTGAGACCTCCCCTGAGCGCGAGCCCTGGTAAGTGATGAGAGGAGCGAGGCGCCAAAGCAGACGTGGGCTCTTACTGGGGTGTCCTGGGACCTGCTGGACCTGGGCTCTTACTAGGGTATCCTGAGACCTGCTGGACCGGGGCTCTTACTAGGGTATCCTGAGACCTGCTGGACCGGGGCTCTTACTAGGGTATCCTGAGACCTGCTGGACCGGGGCTCTTACTGGGTGTCCTGGGACCTGCTGGACCTGGGCTCTTACTAGGGTATCCTGAGACCTGCTGGACCTGGGCTCTTATAGGGTATCCTGGGACCTGCTGGACCTGGGCTCTTACTGGGGTGTCCTGAGACCTGCTGGACCAGGGCTCTTTACTGGGTGTCCTGGGACCTGCGTGCACCTGGGCTTTTACTAGGGTATCCTGAGACCTGCTGGACCTGGGCTCTTACTAAGGTATTCTGAGACCTGCTGGACCTGGGCTCTTACTGGGGTGTTCTAGGACCTGCATGGACCTGGGCTCTTACTGGGTGTCCTGGGACCTACGTGGACCTGGGCTCTTTACTGAGTTATCCTGCGAATTGCGTGGACCTGGGCTCTTACTAGGGTATCCTGGGACCTGTGTGCACCTGGGCTCTTACTAGGGTATCCTGAGACCTGCTGGACCTGGGCTCTTACTAGGGTATCCTGGGCCATGCTGGACCTTAGCTCTTACTAGAGTATCCTGAGACCTGCTGGACCTGGGCTCTTACTAGGGTATCCTGAGACCTGCTGGACATGGGCTCTTTACTGAGGTATCCTGTGAATTGCGTGGACCTGGGCTCTTACTAGGGTATTCTGGGACCTGCTGGACCTGGGCTCTTACTAGGGTATCCTGGGACCTCCGAGGACTTGGGCTCTTTGCTAGAGTGTTGCAGGAATAAATTCTAGCCTTTTACCCAGGCAGGGGAAGAACAAGCGGTACTTCAGGAATGGTGAGGTCAGGAGAAGCTTTATTGCTCATGCATGAGGTCTGAGCAGCATTCTAGGGACAAAGGGTTTCTTTTATACATAACCATCTCACACTGATAACATCGGTCAGTGAGCACAAAAGCTTGTGACAAAAGACAGGTATTCAAGGATGCCCTAGGAGATCAGTCAGCCTGGCAGCTGTCTGGCCTTGTTAAAATGCAACAAAGCCTTAGGTAATCTCATCTAGATAGGTTTTAGAGAAGCAAAACTTGTGTTTACATTTACTTTGCATTATTTACTGCACCATACCTATGACTACTTTCGCAGAAAGCAGGAAAGATTTCATTTGCTTAGTGATTCCCTTTCAAGGGTATCCTGGGACCTGCATGGTCTTGGGCGGGAGGCTGAGTCCAGGCCTTGTCCTGATTGAATAAAAGAAGGTGAAGGGTTTGTGCCGCTGTCTCAGGGTGGAGCTGCTCTCCAGCAGCAGGGCTATCCCTTCTCTCTTGAGGGCCGGACTGGAACTTCGAAGTAACCTGGAGTCTCGGGAGGAACCGTCTGAAATGCCGTTTTTCACTGGAATTGTAATCTAGGGGAAGAAGAATGTTCCCTTCTCTTTTAGGTTCATTGCCTGACTTAACATTTAAGTTGATGTAATAACAGATTAACAGGAGAAAAACATTTAACTTCATGTCTCCATGAATACCATAAAGATAATAGGGACTCAAGGCAACCAGGTGATTGAGGTTTTGCATAATGTCTTGAACCAAGGAGAGAGGATACAAAGGGGGCGGTTTGGGGGGGGGCAGTGGTGGTTTGGAGCATCAACCTCTGTGCAGTTGAAAATCCATATATAACATAGTTGACCCTCCATGTTTATGAGTTCGGATCCAGGGTTGCTTGAATCCATGAATGCAGAACCCATGGATAGAAAAAATCTGCCTTGTAAGTGGCCCCTATGAACCTTGAACCGATTCTGGCCGAGGTTCAGCTGTATATGCCATCCTGAGATGAGGAAGAGGGTAAGGGCTTGGGGCTTCAGGGGGAAGTGGGGCAGCCACTCAGGATGAGGAGAAGCCGAGAGGAGCAGGTATTGGGTAATTAGATGTTTCCCCGCCAAGCAGATAGGTCATAAACAGTTATTTCTGTTAAGAATTCGTTAGGGGAAAGGTCCCCTACCTAAGTCCTACTATGTAGTTAGGGAGAGGTAAAAGTTCTCTTGATTGCCTTAAACTCAAAATAATCCAATTGCCGAAGTGACACATCTTAGGGAGGCCAGTTCTGAACCCCTTTGCCTACATTCCTGTATTTTTGATTCACATGGTTCTGCTTGTTTACAGTTTCCTCTGATTTGTCAAACTAGCCTGAATTAGTGTCTGTTAGTTGCAGCCTAAGTTGTAGTTGATCAGGGAAGAAATTAGAACTTAGTAAATGGATATCCTGAAATAGTCACTGTGATAAAAAGGAGGATCTGCTAAGTAATGGTGTAATGGAACACAATTAGGGTTCCCACCCTGAGCTGATAGACAAAAACAAGCAGTGGTTTTTTCAAACCTCCAATCACATGTCAGTGACTGAAGCAGTAAGAATTAGTCCATTGAGGAGGAAAACATGGGGAGGACTAAAGATTCTTGATGTTTCTAAGACCTGCATCGTCTTAGGGCATGTCCTGATCAGATTTCTGATGTTGGCTTTAGCAAAAAATGAAAGTAAAGGAAATTGATAGGAAGATTTTTATGACTAGAAAAACTCAAGCCTGCTGAACTTGGCTTTTGAGTGCTTTAGTAGGGCAAAAATGTCAGTTCTTTACTGAATTCCAAGGAGATTAGCAAAAACTTGAACAGGAAGTTGAATTAGCCCCCTAAATTGGAATCTATCTTCAGTCTCAGGAGAAACAGGGAAAGCTTAAAACCACAACAGTGAATCTTAGTTGCATATTAGAATTACCTCGAGAATTAAAAATATTCCTGAGGTCCTACCCCCAGAGATATTACTTTAATTAGTCTGAACTGGGGTGCATGTATCCCTCATAGGATTTTGGCCTTTTTTTTTTTTTTACCCTGCACAGGCTAGTCTAATGTGAAGCCAGCACTGATAACCCCAGCCTAGGGCCTTGTTACTTGAGACCCAAGCAGCATCACACAACCTGGAAGTTTAGTCAGACATGCAGTGTGTCAGGCTCTGTCCCAGATCTGTGAAATCAATCTGCTGTTTAACAAGGTCCCCAGGTGATTTAAAATTTGAGGGGCACTGCCTAGAAGAGAGACCCTACATCACCATTTACGCTGACTAAAGCATTGCCCCAATTGGAAAGGAAGTCAGCAAATGACTTCCTTAAAATTTACTAGTTCCTTTCAATTCTTCTATCCATTTCTGATAGTAGTCTTTTACACTCTTCTTTGTGTTTCCTACCAAAGCAGTGTGTCTTTCTCACAGATGGAGTCATGGGCGATGTGGGTATCACAATGGTCACAATACAACTTGGGCATGTTGCTCTGCAGACCATTGGCCAAGCCATTCATCACCACCCCAAGAACTCTTAAGTGAGGGCTTACTCTAATTGTGTTATAGTGAAACTAGAGGAGGAGAGGCCAACACAAGGAATAAGAGCATGGACTCTGGTGCCAAAATGCAAAGGTGGTAAGTCCAGCTCTGCTAGTTAGTAACTGTGTAACCCCCTCTCTGTCTCAACTTCTTTCTCAGTGGGGCACTAATAATACCTATATCATACCTATATCATGTTGTAAAGATTGAATGAGCTGAGAGAGGCAAAACAGGTGGAACAGCATGTGACATACAGTAGGAATTCAGTACATTTAGATATAATTAATAATACTATCATGCTCTCCCCATGAGATTTATGACCGTTCCACCTACTGGAGAGACTTTGGCTTGTTTATTTTACAGTTCAGTGTGTGGTAGATTGAGTTACAGGTGGGACATCTTAAACCTTTGGGAAAGAGGTATGTGTGATGAATAGGTAAGGGACCTGATATGATAGACTCTCTTGTCTTTTTGATATTTTTTTTGACACAATTTATTAAAAAAAGATTTGCCAGTAAAAAAGAATTAACATTCCTTCCCACTTGTTAATACTTTCAATGAAAAAGAACTTACATCTTTGACCTGGCCTTTTTTCTTCAGTGATAAGACTTTGGAAGAAAATAAAACATTAACTGATTGTCGAGTGAGAAAGAGACCTTTTGGAAAGAATGAATTTTACAAAGGAAAATTTTACATTTAATGTGACTTTTTTAAAGATTAATTTATAAAGATTATTCGAAAGGTTTTTTTATGTTAAAATTCATATTAAGTACTGAGATCTTGGCTTCTAAATACCATTTTTCACTGAAAGGAACAAATTCTCATTTTATAAATGACTGATTCCAGGGCAGGAGTGGGTAAACTGCACGATGAAATGGCACATCTTGTGCTAGAAAGTCAGGAAGTGCCCAGAAAATGTTGGGGGACCAGACTGAGCTACCCTCCCTGCTCAAGTCTATAACAGTTGGGGCAACAAAGTAACATATGGAAACATTATAATTTATGGAATAAAATAATATTAACTATAGTGAAGAGAAATCTGATAGACAACACCTTGACCAACTGATCAAAATTACCATGTACTGGGGACAAATCCATATCATGTGCTCCTGAATTATACTGAAAAGGGCATGCTAACAGTTCTGCGTCATTCTTGCCAAAAAAAAAAAAAAAATGCATAATCTAAATTTAATCATAAAGCATCAGACAAACCCAAACTGAAGCAGCATCAGAATCCAAAATCACTGATACTGTTTAAAAATTTCAGACAAAGATTGAAGAACTGTTCTTGGTAAAAGGAGATTAAGAGACATGTCATCTCACTGCAACACATGATCCTGAATTAGGACATCAGTGGCATAATTGCTGAAATTTAAATAGCTCTTTAAGTTATATCATGTTGATGATGATTTCCTGACATGATAATCTAACTAGGAGATACACACACGTGTGTGTGTGTGTGTGTGTGTGCGCGCGCGCGTGCGCTTATTTTTAGGAAGTACATAGAAAAGCTTGTAAATGTTTCAGAATGAAAATAAAGCAAGTAAGTATTAAGTATGCAAGATGTTAAACATTTGGGAAATGTAAGGGAATGGTGCATAGGAATTCCTTTTTATTATTTGTGCGGTTCTAACGGTGACATAATTTCAAAATTAGAAGTTAAAATAATTACATTTATTAAACTTATAAATAAAAGAACCTTTTTCTTAAATTTATATATCATATATCCCTCCACTCAGCTGTCTGGGTCTTGGTGGGGGATGGCAGAAAATGGGGTCAGACAGGTCTGGAGCACACACATATGGCCTCCCCAGCATGGAAGTCTTAGGGTGTTTGGACTTAACAGCAGCTCAGAGTATTCCAAAAGGCTTGCATGGGAGCTGCAAGGCTCCTTAAAACCAAACCTCAGAAACTCCAGAATTTCAATTTCACTATATTCTTTTAAGCAAATCACCAAAGCCCAGATTCAAGGGTAGGGATGTTAGACTTCACCCCTTAATGAGGGGAATAAAAAGAATTTACAACCATTAGTTATGTGCCACGAGATCTTTATTTCAAATAAGATTTAAAGTGAATCCAAATAAATTTGGAAATTTTACTTTATTTAACTTGGAATCAATGTTTATAAAATCATTTTAGTGATACATGTCATTGAAGAATATTTATCTGGCTTGAACTGTATAAATGAGCAAACATTTGGATAAGACAATAAGAATTTCCCTTTCCTCAGTCTTATAACTTTTGTTTTATAGGCAATAATTTCCCAGCTCTTTTAAAATCTGATTGTGTATAAAAAGAGGACTGCAAATACTAACAAAATAATTTTAAATTAACTGGTTTTCAGATTATTTACAAAGTTGTGTTTCATTCTGATCTTGCCAGTGTTGACCTAACCAAGGAAGAGACCACTGATTCCAGTAGTTCTAAAACCAGCTCATTTGAAAACATGCAGCAGGAAGATGGCAGCATGCTCTCTGTCATTACCTGGAATATTGATGGATTAGACCTAAAGAATCTGCAAGAGCGGGCTCGAGGGGTGTGTTCCTATTTAGCTTTGTAAGTAGTATTATTTTCTTTAATGGTAGTGAGGATGTTACTTACCTATCTACAAACAGGGTCATAATGCCAAGTTAGGAGATTTGGAATCAGACCTTACCTCAAAATCCAGCTCTCAGAGGAGATATATGAAAGAATTAAGAGTGATTGCCTTCCAGAGTAGAAATAGGAGTTGGGGTGAAGAGGGCACACTGATTTTTGTTAGAAAACTCCTAGTACTATTACTTATTCAACTTTGTATTTAATATTGCAATGAAAATAAAATTGTCATAAAGATGTATATCTGTCACATACTGACTCTGTGACCTTGGGACAAATCACTTAAGTTCTCTAGTGCTTGGCTTTTGTTCCCCATGGACACTGTTTCAGAGGATTGATACAGTTACTATACACAGTGTCTTTTAAACTGTAGGACCATGGTAGGCTCTTTTCTATTTTCTTTTCTTTTCTTTTTTTTTTTTAAGATATATTTATTTATTTTTACAAGCACTGGGTACAGTCAGAAGCTCAGGAGGGTGAGAGAATTCACCAGAGCGGGGAACAGAACAGGCAGACTGATGAAATACACTGCTGAGGGGAGCAGCGGGCGTGGCAGGAGAGGTCTGTCACACCATGTGGGATCCTCACCGGTGGCCGGGGATTGAACCAGTGCTGCAGAGGCTGCAGGCAGCTTCGCAGCCCAGCGCCCAACCGCTGTACCACCGGGGAGGCCCTTTTTTCTATTTTCTGTGATTCCATTTCTTTTAAATTTAAAGTGTTGTTGCATGTATGACTTTTCAAAAATTTGATCTTTGCAATGTTAACATGTTAAATAGCACGGATCTTATTTTGTAGTTACCAAAGATCAGTATGAATATAGAATATAGTTGTCCTAAAGGGTAATTGCTTCATGTTTCTTTTATGTTGCAGAATTTTCCTAATAATCTAGGTAAAGGCAAGTGGAATGGTATATTGGTGCTTATCATAAATTTGTTTTTAATTAGGTACAGTCCGGATGTGCTATTTCTCCAGGAAGTCATCCCCCCATATTATAGCTACCTAAAGAAGAGAGCAAGTAATTACGAGATTATTACAGGTAACAATTTTCCTATTTTGTTTCTCTTTTTTCTTTGAAAAACAAGTCCGTGAATGAGAAATCAGCATTAGCCTGTTAGAGCACAAACAAAATAAATGTGAGAAAAGTAGGCCAGACACAGCATGCTACCTGTAGGAAAGTGTGTTAGCAACTTAATGTATTCATATGTATGAAAAGGTAGTTGAAATGAATGCTTTTCCAGGAAAATACAAGTTGTCAATATTTGAGACATTGAGTAGTTTTTTCTTTTTTTTTTTTTAGATTTATTTATTTATGCATACAAGAACTGGGGTACAGGCCAGAGGTGCAGGAGGGTGAGAGGATTCACCATTCACCTGAGACAGAGTGGGGAACAGAGTAGACAGACTGAAATACACTGCTGAGGGGAACAGCAGGTGAGACAGGAGAAGTCTGCCTCACCATGTGGGATCCTTCTGGCTGGCCGGGATCAAATCCGCACTGCAGAGGCTGCGGACAGCTTCACAGTGCAGCGCTCAACCGTCTGCACCACCAGGGAGGCCCTAGTTTCCTTTATTGATGATGATAGATTTGATGCTTCTCTAATTTCTGTTCTTTTCTCTTTGGATTCACTGAGGGTCTTCAGGTCTTTTAAAAATCATTGGTCTGAACATTTGATAAAAACTTTCAGTCTGGAGGTTTGTAACCTTCAGTTCTGAAAAATTCTTTTTTTTCTTTTTCCTTCTCTCCCTTCTTGCCTCTCTCCCACTACTTCCCTCCTGCCCACCTGCCATCTTTCTTATCTTTCTGCTTTCTCCCTGCCCCTAACTTTTTTTTTCATTCTTTCTCTCCTTTTTTTTTTTATTTACTGCAATTTTTCTGGTGCTTCTGGAGTATAATGTAAATGCTTATATATTTTACTTCGGTTTAAGTCTCATCTTCTCTGTCTTGAAAGTTCAAATTTTCTTTTTTGAATATTTTGGTACTTAGTGTGAACTCATTTTTATTTTTCTTCCATATTCCATTTGACTTTTGGAAGGGGACAGGTAAACATAAGGACTGAGTTGGTTATCTTACAGTTGTTTTGAATAGTTTACTGTTAGGATTTGGAGTTGTTTCAATATCTGTATTTGTTTGTTATAAAATCTTTAGTAGGGGAACTTGTGATAAATTGCAAGTATCCTTTCAGCCTAAATTGTTTTCCACCAACATTTGAAGGTCGTGAAGAAGGATATTTCACAGCTATAATGTTGAAGAAATCAAGAGTGAAATTTAAAAGCAAAGAAATTATTCCTTTTCCAAATACAGAAATGATGAGAAACCTTTTGTGTGTGTATGTAAGTAGTTTTTTAAAATGGCCTTTTTAAGAAACAGAATGATGGTGTTTATAGTTCAATGGTGATTTTTTTTTTTTTTTTAAAAGCAAATCTAAGGGATCAGATAAGTTGGGTAAAAGGGGTTAGTTGTTTGGCAAAGTATGGAAATGGACATTTAGTGGTCAACCTAATATATACAGGATGCTGATTTGTAATAATGCATATCTGAAATCTATATAATGTAATTCAATGTTACTTCATCAGAAAATTAAAAAGAGAGAGAGAACTGTTGCCTTTAGAGAAAAATCTGCTCCTCATTACGCATTCTTTTAATAATCTTAAAGAATTTAATAAGTTAAGCTTTTACATGGGAAATTTGTGAAAATACAATCCTTCATCCATTATGTTTTCCTAAGAATATGTAAGAGTTTGCTAACATTCCACATTTGCTTTACAAAGTATTTTGTGCTTTGGCTGTGTACATATATGGATATGAAGTAGTATTCACTTCAATTCAGTGCAGAGGATACAAATTGAGGTAGCTAGTGTGATAAGAAGTTGGGAAGGTGGATCCGATCCAGATTATAGAAAATCATGAATGTTCTTTGTAGAGAGAAAAATTTGTGCTATAATTCAGTTTAGGGAACCTTAGAACCATTCTTTCTGGCTTGCGTCAGGAGTATTCACACTCCCTGGGACATTGGGGTAGGGCTTACGGTGCAGGTGACATTTGAGGTAGGTCTTAAAGTATTAGTGGGTCCTTGCTAAATAGTAGTCTTTGGGAGCAGGGTTGGTACTTTATCCTTGGCCCAACAGGATGAGCATGGCACTGATTAGTTTCACTGGATAAACACATACCAATCAAGTGAAAAATTGCTGATTCTGTTATCAAAGTTTAGCATTAGTGGTTACTAGATAATTTTAATGACATAATTATCCTGTTGCAGGCGAGTGTGTCGGGAAATGAACTTTGCCTTATGACTTCCCATTTGGAGAGCACCAGAGGGCATGCTAAGGAGCGAATGAACCAGTTCAAAATGGTTTTAAAAAACATACAAGAGGCTCCAGAGTCAGCTACAGTCATTTTTGCAGGAGACACAAATTTAAGGGATCAAGAAGTGAGTGATAAAATCATTTCAGTTTTTATAGCAGATTATTGCTGTGCCAACTACTTTTTAGGTTTCCTTTGTCCAACATTGTTGAAAGAAGGGCCTTCATTGGCCAAAAATGGCTAACTGACCTTGAAGATGCAGTTCAGTAAGTACTCTGCTATATGCCTAGTATTGGGAAAGCAGAGATAGGAGATCTTACATTATTGGAGGGAAACATAAATATTGCACATGAAACAGACAACACAAAATCAATGTTGCTGAATTGTATTGATTTACAAGCAGGGTAGAGAGAAAATAGAAGAATAGGAGAATTTAGAAAAAAATGAGTTAATTTGTAATATTGCATGGTGAGAAGAACAGAACAATTTGACCATCACGATTGTCTCTTACTCTTTATCTTCTAATGTTTGTTACCTCCTTTCCCCACTACTACCATGTCCAGGATGCAAACTAAGTCTCTGTCTTTAAGACAGTTGAGACAGATTGAAATTTTTCAGGACTTAGTGTAGATTGGGAACATATTAAGTGGTTTTCCTGCCCTTTCCTCTCACTCTGGCTGAGCTCACATACATTGACAGTGAAGTGAAATGGGAGGAGTCGCTTCATTTTCACTTCACAGAATTCCAGGAGTGGAAGAAATGAAAAGGAAGATGAAAGCATGCCAGGACTCACTGCCAGAGTGAAGGCAATATTCCAAATACAGGAAGTGGTGCTCTTCCCTCGGCAGTTTTAGCTTTTTATACACACATTTTTTTAAAAATCTAACTTACTTTTGAACTGTCTGCAAATTGGTAATGATAACAGCCTGACTGACTTTTAAAAAAGCCTGCTTCTGAAAAAATGGTGCTAGCAAATCTGGATATATACAGACAAAAATCTGAAATTGGATCTTTACATCATATGCAAAAGATTACTTGAAATGAATCAAAGACTTCAAAATACTGAAACTACAAAGTCATTGACGAAAATGGGGAAGCAAGTCATTGTATTGAATTTGGCAGTGACTTCTGAGATACGACAACAGAAGCACAGACGACAAAAGAAACTTAACGGAATTAAAAACTTGTACATCAAAGGGTACTATCAGTGGAATGCAAAGGCAGCTCATGGAATGGGAGAAAATATTTGCACATCATATGTCTGACAATGCGTTAATATTCAGACTATACAAAGAACTACAGCTCAGTGTAAAACAACCTGATTAAAAAATGGGCAAAATAGCTAGACATTTTTCTAAAGAAGATAGAGAAGTGACCAAGAAGTACATGAAAAGATTCTCCGCATCAACACTTGGTGCAAATCAAAGCCATAATGGGATTCCACTGCACATCCATTGACATAACCTACCAAAGAAACAGAAAATTGTAAGTGTAGGTGTGGATGTGCAGACCTTGGAGTCCTTGTGCAGTGGAGGTGGCAATGTAAAATGGTGCAGCTACTGTAGAAAACAGTGTGGGATTCTTCAAAAATTAAACAGATGATCCCACAATTCACTTCTGGAACCATAACCAAAACTAGTAAAAGTCGGTTCTCGAAGAGATGTTTGTTCACTCATGTTCATAGCAGGATTATTCACAGTAGCTAAACTGGAAACAACCCAAGTGTCCATTGACAGATGGGTGAGTGGATAAGCAACATGTGGTGTGTCCATGCAATAGAGTAGTACCCAGCTGAAGGAAGAGAATGTTGACACAGGCTGCAACACGGATGAAACCTGTAGACTTCATGCTAGGTGAAATAAGCCAGTTGCAAAAGGACAAAAGTTTTATGATTCCTTGTATATGAGTTTCCTAAAATAGTCAAAAATTCTTAGACAGCAAGTAAAATAGTATTTGCCAAGGGCTGAAGGGAAGCCAAAATGGACAGTTAAGTGTTTGAAGGGTAGAGACTTTAGTTTAGGAAAATGAGTACATCCTGCCCGTATGTGGTTGTGCAATAATGTGGAAGCACTTAATGGCTCAGCACTGTGCACATTAGAAGGACAAATTTTATAGTATGTATATTTTACTACATTTTTTTTTAAATAACTAGAACATGAGTTCTAGGATAAGGGAGAATATTGTTTGTAAATTTCAGATAAAAATGTGAGGGCAATTGACATTGGATCATATAAGTGACATACTTCTAAATTCATAAGACTAAAGAGTTTGCTGAAAAGATTATAAAGAGTTTTGCCTTCTTTTCACATGTATTCATTATTTTAAAAGTGAGTAATTAAGTGAGGCCATGGGTTTTCAGCCTCCTGAGTTTGCTGTGACACCCAGTTAGGAATCTATTTGTAGTAGAAAAGAAGGGAACAGTTCCAGACTCCTGGGTATCTTAATGGTTTTGCATTACCTACCAATCACTATGCAGCAGATCACTTTAAAGGTACAACATATGCAGTTGGTCATTAATAAATAATTTTGTAACATTCTGATTTGAAATGTTGCATTTACACATGATAATAGTATAAAGCACCTTTTTAATGTATGGAAATGAAAACAGAATCTTACAGAGATTCTTTTTACTTGCAGGTAACCCGATGTGGCGGTTTACCCAGCAACATTTTGGATGTCTGGGAGTTTTTGGGCAAACCTAAGCATTGCCAGTATACGTGGGATACACAAATGAACTCTAATCTTGGAATAGCTGCTAAGTGTAAGCTTCGTTTTGATAGAATATTTTTTAGAGCAGCAGCAGCAGAAAGTGGACACATTATTCCCCGAAGTTTAGACCTCCTGGGGTTGGAAAAACTGGACTGTGGTAGATTTCCTAGTGATCACTGGGGTCTTCTGTGCAACTTAGATGTAATACTATGAAATGCTTTTCAGATAAGAGTTTATATCTTCTAAGTAGTTTTGTTCTGGACTTAATGCAAATATAATTTCTATCTATCTGGAAAGGTTAGATTCAATATAGCAGAATTAATATACTGGATCACATAACATAAAAAACTATTGTGATTTTATTTTGTGAATTGAGTCCTGAGTATCAGTGTTTACTTAAATTAAAGCAGACCCAGTGTTGAGAATATGAGGCCTCTTAATGAAAGGGCACAGAGGCTGTCAGAGCTTTGAATAGTGGTCTTAGCTGCCTGCTGGATTTCAAGCAGGATCAGAGCATCTCTGTGGGCTAGTTTTTATATTTGATTTTGATTTGTGTTTTAAATGGGGCGCCAAAGACAATTATTATTTTAACTAAGATTTCAAAAGGAGAACTTAGTACAGTCCACACATTTAGATCATTTTAAATAAAAAAGTTCTGGTCATCTGCATTTTAGTAGATGACAACTCTATCAGACTATTTTTGTCAGCTGACAGGATACATAATCGGTAAGCTATAAAGAAATCTTACACTTAAAATTCCTTAACTTTTAGAAATTTATGTTTGTAGTTATGTTGCCAACAGAAGAAAAGATGATTAAAGTCAGATATAGTGGCACTGGATTTTTTTAAGAGAAAAATAAAATGTAAAGAGAGATAGCCAGTTAGGTTTTGCTACTTGTAAAATTGAGTTATTTTATAAGAGATCAAAGAGCACTTTCAATGTGCTTTCAAAAAAAAAAAAAAAACTTTTCCCTTAAGAAATGTACTTTAAATAAAGAATTTCACTTGTTTGTAGTTTGCTTTAGTATGTTACTGTGCCTGTAATGGGATTAAGGTTTTTACTTCCTGTTTCTGGTTCTAGTGCTGCTAATTGGCGTTCATGCGGAAGAAAAATAGCTTTCCATGTCGCTTCTCACCCTCCCTAAGAATTACCAAAAATACATTGAGACTTCCTTAGTATAAAAAAAGAAAGCCAGTGGAATAATTAGAAGGCGAAGTGGCAGAACCTTATTTTTATCAGGAGTGTCAGAATTAACTAAAACACCTAACAACGGGAAGCTGAATTTGTACATGATATTCCCATTTTAGTGACAGTGGAAAAGGTTTTTTATGTTAGTCATCATTTTAATCATTAAAACTAACTTGAGAAGTACTGCTAATACCATCATACATCACACAGGCACTAGAAAGGGTAAATTGCTTATTCATTTGGAAGAATAAAACCAACCTCACCTCACTTTACCAAAAAAAAAAAAACCTAAGTAAAAAGCAAAATATAAACTATAAAATATGTAATCATGTTTATTAGAGTAAGGAAAGGAGTACCATTTCCTTTTATATCACCCAAGCCTCCAAGTGAAAGACCTTCCCAATTACTGTTTAGAGTGACAAAATTAGAAACAAGTTATAAGTGAATGAATAGGATTGAACCATGGGCACTTTTTTTAAAAGATCTATTTATGCATATAAGAACTGGGGTATAGGCCAGAGGTACAGGGGGTGAGAGGATTCACCAGAGACAGAGTGGGGAACAGAACAGGCAGACTGACTGAGGGGAGCTGAGGGGAACTGCCGTGGAGACAGGAGAGGTCTGCTGTGCCATGTGGGTAGTTCCCTGCTGGCAGGGCATCAAAATGCTGCAGAGGCTGCAGGGTAGCTTCACAGTACTTTGCTTAACCCCTTGCACCACGAGGGAGGCCCTGGAAAAACTTTTTTTTCCAGTATAGTAGTTTTTTGTACCTTACCTCTCAGAAATTCCAACTCAGAATCTTTTATTTCAATTGACTAAGCACCACCTTCGCCACTGATGTGGAATGTACTTGAACCTTGCTCGAGCTGACTTTCCCACCTACGAAACAGGATAGTTCCTTGTCTTTTCTTGTGCAGCTTAGTAAGACAAATGTTTCGAAATATATTTCAGAAATACATGTTTTTTTACATACGTCAGAATAGGTACTCCTTGTGATGGTTTTGAGTTTATAATTTAACATTCTAGGTTAAGCACATATATATTAGTATATCCAAAGACCATTGTGAACAAGATTTACGGATCAGATTTATGGATGCAGTAAGGAGGGGTACTGTGGAATGTCTTCTGAGAAGAGAAATGACGATGCTTTGTAAGGTTTTGTGTTCACATGAAAGGTTTCTAAGGAGGTTCTTGAAATCAGGCGTTCGGTTACTGCTTCAAAGAAAGATTGGGAGAAGCAGGGATTAACCAACATTTGGGTGTCCTCAGGAAAGGAGAGTAGCAATTTGGTATCACTGGCTAGGGATGGGGAATAGCAAAGCAAATGGGGCACTCAAAGAGGGGGTTTTTAAGTTACTGCTGCTGCAAGGCTTTGGGAAAAACAGTATTTCCCGTTAACTTTCCTGTCTTTATCTGAGTCTGTCCTCTTAGCCTGATGAAAGGCAGGGTTGCCTTTTTTTTTTTTTTTTTTTTTTTAAATCAAAGATGATTTTTCACTCTAAGTCCTGGACAAGTTTTTATTCTTGCAATGTGCATTATTATTTAATTCCTGCAACCAACCTTTTATGAGTGCTATGGTTCTCTCTTTTTAATTGAGGAGGGCCTCCCTGGTGGCCCAAGTGGTTAAGCACCGCACTGTGAAGCAGTCCACAGCCCATGCAGCAGGAGTTAGATCCCGCGGGCCAGGGAGCTACCCACATGGCACTGCAGACCTCTCCTGTCTCGCCCACTGCTCCCCTCAGCAGTGCATTTCAGTCAGTCTGCCTGTTCTGTTCTCCGCTCTGTCTCTGGTGGATCCTCTCACTCCCCACATCTCTGGCCTGTACCCCAGTTCTTGTATGCATAAATAAATAAGTCTTAAAAAAATTGTCCCATTATAATTGAGGAAACGGAGGTTTAACAGAATTATGTTTCTTGTCCAAGATCCACCAAGGTGAGTGAGTAGCCTAGCAGGGGGTCGTTCATGCCTTCTGTAACTCAGCCCTAAACTCTGCGCCATTCTTCACAGTCCTGGGAATGTGCGAGGAATGCGCCCTGACCCCAGAACAGTAAGAGAACAATAAAAATGCAAGGAAGAGTAGCCTGCATCTGTTTTCCATGGGTCAGCTTATCCCCTTCCCCAAGAAATAAGTGTAGTCCAAATACATGAGACAGCTAGTGAACCTCGAGAGCACGGGCTTGATTTGGGTCCCTCCCAGAGCCGGTTTCCATCCCCAGTGGGGAGGCAGCACGTGTTCAAAACCTAGTGTTCAAAACCTAGTAGGGCCCAAGGAGTAGGGCCAAGGAGCTAGAGGCGTGGGACTTGTGTATTGGGGGGGTGACTTCGCTTCGGGGGACACATTCTTAAAGCCCCTTTGGGCCTTTGGAAGGGTCGCTCGGGACCATGTGGCGGGCAAGGGCTGGAGAAGGCAAAGAGGAACGTGCAGGCCACCCTGTCTCCCGAAAGCCGTCCGCCCGCTCCCCGCGGCGCGGGAGTCGGTCGCCCGGACGCCCATTCCGAGAGCTCCAGCTGGGCGCAGAGCAGGGGCCGCGGCCCGCCCTCCCCGGGGACCCGTGTGCGCGTGCGCGCGCGTCGCCGTGGCAACCGCGGCGGCGGAAAGGCGCTGAATCACGGGCGCGCGCGTTGCTAGCGCCAGCCGCGGCGGCGCAGCCGGGTGCGGGCTGGGGTCCCCCGGGGTTGCATCGTTCCTGGACCGGCGCTGACCCGGGCGGGCCTGGCTGGTCTCGCGAAGAGAGGAGCGCAGGAGCCGTGGCCGCGGCCGCTGTCTCCGCAGGAGGAGGTCACAAGGTAGCTGTTGCCTCTACCTGCGGGGGTTTGGGTTGGGGTCCCTCCTAGGGACGGTGCCCTGGGAAGAAGACCAGAGTTCTTGCTCAGTTGGGGCGGTACCTTCTCTCTGGCAGCAGATGCCAGCTCCACGGTGCGAATGCATGCGCGTGTGTGTGAATGCACGCGTGTATGTGAATGCACGCGCGCATGTGTGAATGCACGCGTGTATGTGTGAATGCACGCGTGTGTGTGAATGCACGCGCGTGTGTAAGGCAGGGAGATGACGAAGAGGAGCAGGTGGGACAGCAGGAGATGCTCCGAGCCAGCGGCATCCACTTGGGCGAGCTTCAGCGTCGCCAGCAGGTGCAGTGTTGACTTTCCAGCGCGGCTGGCGGAGTGCTGCAAAAGGGAGAGTAGCAAGTCCTCGGGTTAAGCCAAAGCAAAACGGAAACCAGATGCCCTGAGTTTAGGAGGTGAGTTTGCAAAGGTTTTTCTAGACAGCTAGGAAAGGGCGCTACCCGATGGCTTGCGCTGATGGTTTCTTAATAGGGTGGAGTCGGGAAATCTTGCATCTTTTTGAAGCCTCATGAATTGCATTGCTTAGACCTGGAGACGCCTCTTGAAACTTCGTCTGGTAATATTTATGTAATCTTTACTGTCATTTGCTAAATTCGACTTGTCTCTGTATCTTGTCATAATCTGAAACTTAAAATCTTTTAATGGCATTTTTCTCCTGCCGGTTGAACTCCCTCCATTGAATGGTTGTTAAGATAGCATTAATCAAGAGCATGAACCTGAAATTGAGACTCATCGGCCTTTCAGGCATTCATTCTCTTAATGGAGACAGACAAGAAAATGGTATCACACTCATGTTCATTTTTAATTACTAGTTATATTCATCTGAACACTTTTGTGGATTAAATGTCTAATGCTTCCCCCCAGTTGTTAAATAGAACAGAGCAATGATGTTTTGATAAAGTTAACTGTAGATTTTTTGAAGTAAATGTTAGTGTTGATTTCTTTATTCCTGAAATACATATTTACTGTCCAAATGCTTCAAATTTATTTTAAGAAGACCACAATCATGGAGACTACCAAAGTTACACCAAATATAAAATTTTATAATGTGCTCATTATTTTGTCTCATTTTTCATACAACTGAGGGACCCTGGGAATATCAGTTATAGATTTGGGAGTCATAGACAGCTGAATTCCTCTGCAACTTGAAAAGGAGAAATATAAACATTTATCAAGACTTTTTAGACCCACTGGGGGTAGAAAGACCCATTACTGCTTTTCCAAGTAAAATGACAAGGCAGGGATTTATTTCCTTTCAGAATAGCAAAAAGAATTCAGCCAAAATCTTTATGTATTAAAAAGAATGAAGAGCTTCAGTAAATTTTTAATGCAAATGGATGGGTCTGCTGCTAAATTTTCTTGACTTCATTTTTTTTTTTTTCCTAGCCAGAGAAGAAACATTCTCTTTAAATAAATAGTGGAGACAGCCATGACTGTTTCTACCTGCAGTGACGTGGCCTGGGTTAGGTCCTGGCTATGCAACTTAGTAGCTGTCTCCTTTGGCGAATTCTTTACCTCCTGTACCCTTCAGTTTTTTCATCTTTAAAAAAGGGATAATTGGACCTACTTCATGAATATTCCTGTAAGAATTAAATAAAAAAATCCAGAGGAGAACTATTTGTTCATTGCCTGGCATACAGTAAAACACACCAATAAAAGCAGTTGTTACTGTTATTCTTGAGATATATTTTCAGTATATTCCAGGAAATATCTTCTATGTTTTCAAAATAGTATAGCACTAGAAATAGGATTATGTTGATGTGACCAAAATGTGTTCAGATTTATAATGTTATAAATCAAAATGCATCAAGTTTCTCTTAGTTTCTTTACACCAATAACAAATACAACAATCAATCATTCTTAAAGGCATGTTGATTCCAAGTAATTATACTTAATACCCCCAAGGAGGAATTTCATTTTGCTAGACTTCTTACACCCAACTGGGAGGAAGTGGCAACTCTTTCTTTTTGAAAATCTCACTTTCTTAAAA